CATTTGGACCTGACCATGTTAATATTGCGACAACGTACAACAATCTGGGTTTGGTTTACAGAATATGGGAGAGTACGAAAAGCAAAAGATTTTATGAACGAGCGATAGAAATTCAAACGAAAACATTTGGACCTGACCATGTTAATATTGCGACAACGTACAACAATCTGGGTTCGGTTTACAGAATATGGGAGAGTACGAAAAGCAAAAGATTTTTATGAACGAGCGATAGAAATTCAAACAAAACATTTGGACCTGACCATGTTAATATTGCGACAACGTACAACAATCTGGGTTTGGTTTACAGAGATATGGGAGAGTACGAAAAGCAAAAGATTTTATGAACGAGCGATAGAAATTCAAACAAAACATTTGGACCTGACCATGTTAATATTGCGACAACGTACAACAATCTGGGTTTGGTTTACAATAAAATGGGAGAGTACGAAAAGCAAAAGATTTTATGAACGAGCGATAGAAATTCAAACGAAAGCATTTGGACCTGACCATGTTAATATTGCGACAACGTACAACAATCTGGGTTTGGTTTACAAATGGGAGAGTACGAAAAGCAAAAGATTTTATGAACGAGCGATAGAAATTGAAACGAAAACATTTGGACCTGACCATGTTAATATTGCGACAACGTACAACAATCTGGGTTTGGTTTACAATAATATGGGAGAGTACGAAAAGCAAAAGATTTTATGAACGAGCGATAGAAATTAAACGAAAACATTTGGACCTGACCATGTTAATATTGCGACAACGTACAACAATCTGGGTTTGGTTTACAAAAATGGGAGAGTACGAAAAGCAAAAGATTTTTATGAACGAGCGATAGAAATTCAAACAAAACATTTGGACCTGACCATGTTAATATTGCGACAACGTACAACAATCTGGGTTTGGTTTACAATAAAATGGGAGAGTACGAAATAGCAAAAGATTTTTATGAACGAGCGATAGAAATTCAAGTAAAAACATTTGGACCTGACCATGTTAATATTGCGACAACGTACAACAATCTGGGTTTGGTTTACAAGGAAATGGGAGAGTACGAAAAAGCAAAAGATTTTTATGAGCGAGCGAAAGAAATTAAAACAAAAGCATTTGGATCTGAACATGTACTGCAATAATATACAACAATCTTCATTTGGTTATGAACAAACTATAGATATTGAAACTGAAGCATTTGCACTTCTATTTATCTTTTATTTTCTAGAAGATAAAATACTCCTGTCTTTGAGAAAACGTACAAGGAGATAGAAGAAGAGGAAATGAATTTGTAGCTCATTTTCAATGAAGAAGAAAATCAATTTCTCTTTTCATTTTAGGTATGTCTTCTTTATACTAAAGCTGATTAGAAACAGTTGTATTGTAGATTTCTTTTAACAAAGGTTCAAATAACAACAGTTGTATATTTATAAAATGTAGAAATATATTATTGACAATATTCAAACATTTGTATTTTCAAGTTTTCAACTGTCATTTATTTACTGGAACAGTTTTTATTTAGAAACTTGTATGGAACTATCAAAGTATATTTATGAATTTAGTTTGCAATATCTAGCTATTCAGAAGTTGTGAAGTTCCTTAAAATGAATGTTGTTGGGTCATTTTCTTGTATAATGAGAGTAAATACTGATCTTACAGCAACCATGATCATGTAACATCCCTTTTTGAAATGCTGAAAAGCCCACAAGATTTGCTTTGCTATATAAGTATGAATACAGTCTTTTCTATATTTATTTCTATTCATTCCTATAATTTACAAAATATACTTTCTATTTATGAGAATTGTAGTTGTTTGAAATGGACATACAGTTATTGTTATTTGATTCAATCATACTTGATTTGGGGACTAACACCTTAATTGTCGTGACATTGTTTGTTTTTTTTTACTTTGGAGGAAATATTTATTTAATGATTGATTGAATAATACTTTATTATAGTTCAAACTATAAAGGCAATGTAAAGTAAAAGTTATAAATAACCTGAAGAAGAAAAAGCAGGATATCATTGCCATAGCATTGACAGAAGTGAAAATGACACATTTAAGTGTCCGACTACCAGATTTACTAATATATAAAAATCCCAGCAGCAGGATACTTGTTAATTGGGGGCACAAATTCATATATGCATGTCTTAATTTGTTGAAAACAATGGATTTCAAGGAACTTAATGTGGCAGAACTTGAATATATGAATATGTGCCTCCTACCCAAAATAAAGAGTCTGCTATGTCATTTATTCCCAGGGCATCTTGAAGAGCTCTGGCATTGTGTGTAACAGTTAGTATTTCATTTTGCAAGGAACTTCTTATTTTTTTTCCAAAACATTATTTGAACATTAGAGAAATTGTGTACAAACTATAAAAAGTTTATATTAGGAATATATTTCTAGGGCAACACCCTCCTTTAAAGTATGTATCCATGTTCAGGAGTGAATGACATGACCAGACATTTTTGGCTAATGTCTTTACAACTGATAAGAACAGTAAATGAGTCATTTCTACTGGTGTCTTTACTACTGATATGGACAGTAATGAGTCATTTTCATTGCTATGACATTCATGTCTTGCTTTTGCTATAGTTTATACTTTACATTGCTTTGAAACTGATTCTCCCAGCGACATAAATGATTTCGTAGTCTTGATGTGAGTATGGACCGCCCCAATAATAACATTTTCGCGTCGATTCAGATTGGATGGTGGCCAACATGTCGTTATTTTTGTCCTTTGACTCGATATCCCGTGCTTGATAAGTGCTTTGCTCATCTCTACGGCCGTCCAGCAAAATATCCCTGAGTTTATACTCGGGATCTCTTGTGCTTTCTTTCGTATCCACGAAGAAAATCCCGCCATGATTATCTGTTGTTCCACCTCAAAGTCAACATCATCAAAAGCACATGTTTGAGCTAATTTCCTCAATCGTGTATGAAATTGGTCTAACGTTTCTGATTGTTCTTGTTTGGCTTCGCGAAATTTGTACACTTCATATCGCCGATTTTTTGAGGCTCAAAATATTCCGTTAATTCGGTTATAGCAAGTTCATATTCGCTGTCGTCGCCTGTATCGTTGAGCTGTCGAAATATTTCACGAATGCATGAACCATCTTGACAGAGAAGTAATGCTCGTTGTTGCTTTTTATCTTTAATTCCACTCGAGATAATAAACATTTCAAAATCGGCAAGCCATGTGCTCCATCGAGTTGCCAAGCTTACACCAAGTATTTAATTAACAAAAACCTTTTTTAAACACCTTTATTATCCAGCGTACGTATGTTGGGCGGCTATTACCCACGTATATATAACATCAATTTTCACCATATACTACATTGTATAACTACCAAAAAGTTAGAAATGACAGTTCAAAAAGTATTTATTCAACAAAAACCTTTTTTAAAACATCTTTATCATCCAGCGTACCTACGTTGGGTGGCTATAGACCCATTGCATGAGTAGTATACAGAGCGTCGTTTCTGGCTCAACTCAACTTGAGAAAGCGTCGTTTCTGGCCCACCTCACAACTTGGGACCTATTATACACAAATCTAAGTGCCCCAATCTTAGTTCGCATACGTATGCTAGCAGAATTACAGCGAAGGTCAAAGCCTGGACAACGCCAGGAGCCAAAGACGGCCCGACCACCCCCCGCGCCCGCGCGGCCGGCCGTCGGGGTCTATTATTTAGAAGTAGCGTATAGTAGGGTAAGATGAATAGTGAATCCAAAAGAGTACGTATGAAAAGACAAGAGCCAAAAGAAAGAAGAGAAAGAGAGAAAAAATTGAATAATATAATAATAAGACAAAGAGAAGAACATCTTAAATTACAAACCAGGCTGCTAATACAGACAGGTACGATACAATTAGAAGAAGAATATTTATATAGTATATAGAATCGAGATGGACACTGTTAGAGAGATTCTGCTACTATATAAACAGGGTGTTATAAGTGGAAGAGCTCAAAACTCATTTCTTGAAGCTTTTCAACCACTAGCATCTACATCAAGAAAGCGTACTAAGTCAGCTCCATCTGAACCTCCTTCGGCACCATGTAAGCGCAGACCTATTAAGCCTAATGACGTAATAGAAATTAGACCGCCTGTTATAACAAATTCCGTAGGTTGGGAAGCTGCGTATGGAAATATGAGCGACCCAGCGTTAATACGCTATAACGCACTTCAGTTTCTAAGTGTAATTCCTCCAAAAACTGAAACTCCGACGCCTCCGGCGGCCGGTTCACCCCCTTTGCCAAACGTGAAGTGTTCTTATTCAGTTTTAGATAATGAAGGAAAGCCTTCGGACTCGTCTAGCGCTTCGTGTAGCAAATCTTCATCAAACAACCGTTGAAGATTCGGGTATTATACTTTCTATAGTGAGTGTGATAATTACTTTAGCAGTTCCCATCTGTTAAACAACTAATGTTGCATCAGCAGGTAAGACTACATCTATAAAATCGCTATAGCTACATTCAGAGTTGATATCACCAATACGATGTGTTTTTGTTTTACTTAAGACAAGTAATTTGAAGTTTGAAGTACTCGTAGCGCTCCTGCACTTGTAAAACATTTTCCACTTAATGATATTTGGTAGAATCCAGCGGTTTCGATGGTGATTGTAGAAGAATCTTCTTCACCTTTTTCACACATCGCGACATTGGTCCAATCTGAACCTCTTTTTCCAGTGACTGAAGTACCAACTTGAGTGTACACATCTACTGGAATTTCTAGTCGCTTTTTATGTTTTTCACGTCTTCTATGATGTTTTACACTACGGGCGTGGTGTTTTTTGGCCTGACGTAGCAAAGCTTCGAGAGCCTCGCGCGTAGGTTTATCTACGTCTGAATAGTTCCAAGAAGATATGACTATTTTTTCAGCATTAGAATTATATTCTAGTTGGAATTTTTCAAAATTTTTCTCTCTATTTCGTCGTAAGTATACTTCTACTGCTCGGCGAAAGAGATCGTTTGTTGATTCAAATTTATGAACCGAAGTTTCAGCTGCGATATCGAAAAGTTATTACCGAAAAATTAGAAATAAATACGTGCGTTAAAATTTCTGCTCATATATTATACAAAGCTATTGCTTAATGTTATCAATACAACTATAATGTCTGAAGCATTATTAGAAGACGAAATTAGCATTGAGTTAGACTCAACAAGAGCCATTGCGGCGAACGGTAGACAAGAGAATAACTTTCAAATTGTCTTTAATCCAGCCATATCTTTAGATATTAACAAAACATATCAATTGGCTCTTACTGAAGCTAGTTTGTGGAATTCGTGGGAAAATGTCACTACAAAAAACAACAAATTGAGTTTGAGATTAAAAATGGAAACTATGGTGATACTGATGGTGCACAGAGAGGAGAGCTTAAACAGACTCCAATTCAACGACAAAAAATCACAATACCCCCAGGCGCTTACAACATTCCCGATATCAATCAAGCTATTGAAAATGCTATGGAAGCATTGGGGGTAAAGTTCGCACATGAAGATGAAACCGCAAGACGTGATCCACCCTTTGTGCTCTCAGTAAATATTCCCACATCTAAATCTGAGATTACTGTTAAAGGTGACCTTGTAGTTTGCTTTGACGCAAATAACAGCTTAGGTCTATTTTGGAGTTTTCTGTGGATGGAGGCGATATTACTAGAGGAAAGACTTTAAGTCAGAATTCAATTAACATTACAGATGTACAGAAGATCCATATTCACTGTTCGCTTGTTAATTCAAGTAGGATAAACGGAAATTCTAGTGATGTTATTAAATCATTTACTCCAAACCGAGGTCCAGAACGTTTGTTGGAAATAAGACCCAGTCCACCGACCTATTTACCAGTAATAGAAACTAGCCTTATTACTCGAGTGCAAATGAACATCACTGATCAGTCAGGAAATGAGATTGATTTAAATGGTGAGCAAGTAACTTACACTTTAAACACCCGTCCGAAAATGTGATTATACACGCTCATAAGCGGATTCCGATTCAAAGCTGTTGTTATGACAACAGCTTATTATCTGTCTCTAATATACTTAATAATGATAATTCAAGCAAGTAGATGTGGTATAGTTCGTCGGAAATTCGTCGGGGGTCATTGTTGGAAACCTCGTGAGCCTTGCTGGTAAGGCAAAGGGTGCGCTTTCAGTGCGGGGAAGTCCGCAGCTGCAGCCTTAGGATCTCGCGTAGGTAAGTTTGCTCCTAAAATCAAGAATGTGGCGTGGCGGCTGGTAAAAAAGGCAATGTGACACAGCTACAGCAGCCAAAGAGGCTGGTATTTATCTTCCTGGGTCAAGAAATATAGAAGGCGGTAGCTTTATTCGAAATCTTATTGGAAAACTCATACCTACGGTCACTAAACTCATACGAAAAGTCTTACCGTCTCTAGGCCTAGCAGCTATATCAGGTGCTATCACCGGCAGCACGCAAAAAGCAGATGCTGGTAGTGGTGTAGTTAGGAAAGGTGGTGCAGCTGCTAAAGGTGGTGGACGTAATAACTACACAGTTCACGGCGTTACACTTTCAACGGCTCAGAAAAATAACCTGGCAAAGGCAGTCAGAGAAGGAACCGGAGTGACTATACGACTTACCAAAAAAGCACTTGACGGCCCTGACTGGCTTATGCTTACTAAGACGCAAATTAAGCTCATAATGGGTGCAAAACCCACAGGATCTGGGTTGGATCTAAAATTGTCTAAGAGTCGGATTACAGCCATGGTTTCATTTTATAAAGTACTAGCAATTTTTTCTCGCAATAGTCACCATCTTCTGTAATAAAAATAATCACTATGTGTACTTTACCTTGACAAAATACTAATGTCACTTAAGTCAGGTTCCTTCTTAGGTATATTTTTATTTATAAACTAAGATAAACACCAGCAAAATCATACCTGTAAATATGAGCTGGGTAATGAACCAAGTAATGCATCTTGGGTATAACTGAAAGCCCAGGATAAAGCTGGGTGAATTTCCACAAAAATTCCTTCAGGTATCCTTCCAGGATAGCAAGTTCATCAGTGTTTGTGATTGGTGAAAAAACAATTTCAACAATTTTAAGGAGCAACAGAAAATGCATCCACTTTTCTTTATCCTGAGGAATGGCACTGTCGAGAGCTAAAGGAAGGAATTTTCCAAGGCACCACATTTGTCTTGCTATAAAAAGAAAAACCAATCACTTAAATCAAGGGTGATGGTATCAATGCTTGTGACAATCACTACACCCTACCTTTTTGCTTTAAACTATTGTTTTCACTCTTCAAAGTTGTCCGGGTGATTGGTGATGGCTTGTTTTTATCATTAAAATATCCATAATCAAAAGAGTTAATTCTTTCATTAAGTTGCTCCACTGTTAAAAATTTTTCTTTAAATATGAAGTCCTTCAGCAATTCTTTACATACATACTGAAGTACTCCTTCTAGTATATCATGCATTGCATCACCTGGCATGCCATCTGCTACATGAAAATACCTAGAGTTGCGAAGAATTGATCTCCTGCAAAGCCCATATGCTTTACTCAGTTCTGGGTTTTCTTTAATCAGTTCGCATTGGCGGTCATGACCAGCACGAGTTCGAAGTGTAAAATGTTTTTCTAAAAACTGAAAGACTTACTTTAAAGTGTATGTTCCTGGTCTGCTAAAAACCATAATAAAACATTTGATCTATGTTGAAACAGGTTAATAATGTATTATCATAAACATACATACCTTCTGCTTTATTTATTCAGTGGTATTCAAGGGTCATTCATGAAAGGCTCCAAGAGAATGCCAATGCCATATTTTTTGATAATTGGAACTGTTGCCATAAGGAGTAGGTGAATGTTATCACACTGCAGGGTGCGAATTAGTTTAGAAAAAACGATGTGCAAATTTTTTCGACAAAAATTTTTCTCCAGAGGCATAATCAAATGATATTACATTAATTATTATACTGCACTATTTACTAAATTAACATTTTTAGAACGTAATATTTTTTTAACATTTTATCAACGTATACATTTTTACAAGTTATCATGTTATAGTACACGACTAGTTACTTTCTGACGAGTCTTGGTCCGAAAAATAAGCATGTTTGCTGCAGCTTGATGCCTCTAACGTATCGACTTTCTTCTTTCGCTTCTCTGGGTAAGCATGGCCTCCATATCCAATCCTTCGTTTCTTTTGTTCATACCACTGCTCTATTGCGGGAGCGGACCACTGATGGACCCTCCTCACTAATTCGCTGACTGTCCAATCTTCCTCTTGACATTCTGTTACGTAGGTGTGGCTTTATTTTGGCCATTGTTGAGAACATTCGCTCAACCACAGCATTAGACATGGGCGTAATTAATAACAGTTCCACAATGTTAAGAACGTTTAAAAACTTTTCTTTACTAACTGGTGAAGAGAGAATGGCAGCCCAAACATCTAAGTATGGTATAGCTCTGCCATACGTCTCTGAAATCAACAACTTAAGCCCACTCCATTCTTCTGTCAGCATCGTATCGTTCGACACATCCCATACGTTATGCTTCAAAAGCTGAATGAAGTGGTCGACAAGTAGCGTAACCGATTCGTCTCCATAGCTCACCAAATTAACTTCCTCACCTGGCCAAGACTGGGTGTCTATAATTGGACAAAGGTGTTTGTAAACTGGTGTCTCTTGAAGATCACTAAAGCGATTGCCCAAACAGAGGATAATCGCATCTATCCACTCTTGTCGTTGTCCCGCAGCTCCATTTAGTGCACGGGGATAATTTGTGAGCACAACACCTTGATACGAAATCTGGTTCTTGTCGTCACCAGTAGGTTTGCAATCCTTCCTAAATTTATCGGAAGTAGCTTTGCCAAATGTACTACCTTGAAGCTTGACCATAGTCCAGTCAAATTCCTTGATTCTCCTTAAAGCTTTAACTGGATCATTGTCGTCAGTTATCACTGTAGTCCAAGAGACAAAACACGCAAAGGACCAATAATGTCCACAAAGATAGAAGCATACATTGGGAAACGAGCGTCTTTCCATTTAGCTAGGAATCCATTTATCTTCTGCTTTTGTGCATCAGGTGAAGTAGTTGCGGCCTACATAAGAAACAAAAAGTAACATATTACATGACATTAAATAATTTAATAAAAATGCTTATTACTGTTATTACAGGCTAACTTTATTCTAGAAAATTTAAGGAGGCGATGCAAATTTGATGGAAAATAGCAAAAGTTGGAAAATTAGCCATTTTTACCTGTTCAAGATGCTGCATATACATGCCGTAGTTCTCCAGGAAAACCTTCGTGGCGCGCACTTTGTGATCTATCCACCTTGTCCCACTTGCTTTGATGAGCTTATAGACAGTTTCTCCATACACTTCAGCTAGTTTTTTCAGCTCTCTCAGTTTCTTCGGTGACTTCTGGTACAGAGAAAACAGTTGACGCATTATTTCATCTACTTGTGCAAAAAACGTAGCCTTGAATGCGTCGGCAGCAGCAAATTCTAGACGGTGATTGAAGCAGTGGACGACAGTGAGCCAAGGAGCGACTTCTTTTAGACGAGCTTCTAAACCAGTATTTCTCCCCATATTAAAACTTGCCCCATCTAGACAAGTTGCAGCTAGTTTCGATTCAAAGTTTGTAATGCCAAAACGGGCAAAAGCTTCGTTCATAGCTTCCTTCAGCCCTGAAGCATCTTCGTTTTCAACTGTTTCAACCGTCATCAATTAGCAAGTACTATGACCGTTCTTATTCACATATAATACGTAAAATAATTATTGTGATTTTACACTGGTATCGGTGCTGCCATCGCACAAAACTGAAAAATATCTTTAAATACCTTTAAATCTTCATCAAGATTTCCTTTTATGACCTCAGAAATGTGATCTGACAACTCAGCGGCTGATCGGTCTGTTCGATACGATTAACCTAGATCAACGCCTCCCTTCTCCAGGACCTTGCAAATGGGGATATACTTTTTGAAAGGCAACTCAGAATTCATATGATTCACCACTGCGTTTTTCTTTACAACAGCTGATCCTGTTATGAATGTGCGAGAGAAATTTTTTGCGCTTGTTATTCTGTCCTCTTTGTTTCCACAAACTTTACAGCGCAGTGAATTCACCACTTGGCCATCATTCTCGTATTCAAGCCAGTCGGCATTTAATGTTTCTATCCATTTTTCTACTGTGTTAATTTTGCTAGTACAACCTTTCGACGAAGAAGCCATCATGGCAAGAAAAACAAAAGCGACAAGAGAAAAATGCACCGCATATAGCTACTTTTGTCTTCTGATTATCTAATACGTTTTATTGATGCTTACTTATAACAAAAAATATTTTTGTCATATTACAAACTATGCGTAAAAGCAAAAAATACGGTTAATCAAGGTTGCCAGTTTGGTTTCGCTCCCAAAAATCTTTTTGGCTTATTTTTCAAATTTGAAAATTTTAAAGGTTTTTTTTGGAATCAGAAGGAAAATGTCTCCTGATTTTATCGAAAACACTCAAAATAGCTATGATGCCAAAAAAAGTAATGATGCACAAACTACAAAACAGCGCAATGCAAAAATTAATATTTATAAATGAATTACATCCGTATATGGTCAGAAGAACCATGTATGTCAACCAGTATGTCGACTGTTGACAGACTTTCCAGTCTCAAAGTGACGACGTTTTTCAATTTGATGACATTGTGTCAACATGGCCAATTACATGGCTTAAGATTTTAAAAACTTTTTTTTTCAATATATGTTATAGTAATTAATGAAAAACTTTTTTTGCACATCGTTTGAAAAAGTGATGTGCAATTATTTTCATTTTAGCCAAAACGATGTGCAAATTGCACATTGCACACCGTTAATTCGCACCCTGTCACACTGGGATCGATATCGAGGATCAATATTTCCAGTTGTGTAGTAAACAACTCCTGTCATACAGAAATAATGGCATATGATGTAATAAGAGCTTCTTATAGTCTTTCATTGCTCATACACTTTTTTACATTTGAGTGACTGATTTAGTCACTATGATGTCATTAAACTATTACCTAACTTATGCTTTCCAGTTTTACTACCAAGGGCATTTGCAATTTCCAACTCATCATAGTAAAGCATGATTTGTAAAGCAGTTGAGTCCTTGGGAAACAGAGGATGGGTTTTGAAATACTGGCCATCGCAAACATCCTCAATCACATCATCATGTTTATGTTGCCGAAGATGACCATGGTTTAGCTGAAATTGAAATCGAAGAATGAAAATATTAAAATTAATAATAAATTAAATTTATTATTAACCAGCAATGGAAATGTCTGGTGGTAGGATGGGTGCCTTCCTACCATCAGACATTTCAAATTAAAATCAGGCTATTTTCATATTTTCATGAAATAATTGAAGTACATTTTTGGAAATGTGCTCTAATAAATGCATGTCATCATTGTTTTTGCTTTCATGGAAACTAACACAGTAAAACACACATAAAGTTCCTTTTATGGTTATACATAGAACATGTATTAATATTTTGCAACCCTGTTATTGATATGGGTACTTGCAAAGATGTAGTTGTCATAGTTTGATAAACTTGCCAACATAAAAAAAAACACAACCATGCTATTAACAATCTGACCTGTTCAAGTACTCCTTTTACATTGAGCATATTTTACAAGGATTTAAGCAGTGGTATGTACATGATTTCGTCATCTTTAATAACTTCTTTGTACACAGTCCTTGAATGTCTTTTCACAACTCTGTGTCCAAGTTTAATTCGTCTGGGTTGCTACAATTAAAATAATGATTATGCATTATGCCATAACAAGCACTAAAGAGCAGCTGGCTCAAATATGTTAAAAATCTCAAAAAACTTTCTCCAAAAACTCTAAACATTCTAAAAAAAGCCAAAAAACATAGAAATAAAACTTACAACTAAGCCAAAATGCTCCTCAAAATAAGCATTCTGTTTATACTTTGTAGAAATATGTTTGAATGGATTTGAGATAGCATGTCCTTTATCAAATAATTCATCAAGACCTGGCACATCATTATAATTTAATCCAGCTTTCTCTAAGCAATTTTGCAAAGCGTGTTTAATTGCTTTGACTTTTCCTTGGACAAGTTCAGTGGAATCTTCTACAATGTTATCCACACATTTTTGTGTGAGCAGATTGATTTCTTTTGTTTTTAGAAGAAATTGAGCCTTTTTGTGTTCCATTGCTTGAACAGAGTCATCAAGTTCATTTTCCCTGTTGAACTCATCAATTAAAAGTTCAAGGCCATCCTCATCAGGACAAAAATTGTTGTGAATGCTACTCGCTGATTCAACGCAACATAGATGACGTGAGTTTAAGTCAACATTGGCGTGCTTTCTTCTAAGATGACTTTTGTAAGAGTTAACCTAAACAACAAATCCGTGAACGCACTGAATAAGTAAATATTTTTAACAAATAACAAACAAATCAGTGTCGTATCAAGAATCAAAAGCTTACCTTAGCGAAGGTTGAATTACATTCCGGCACTTCGCAGATAATATGCAATCTGGCATCGTGTTCATAAACAGCGACCAAATGATGCAACATTCCAGCGACAGACGTTGAAAAAAACGTTGCACATACCTGACAACACAATCGTGGCATAATTAATTGAATTTTTACGAATATTCTTGCGTCACTAGTCAAGTGACAACTCCGTTACCGTTTGTTAGAGCAATGAATGAGTAAAATCAGATCAATATTAAGTGTCATTAAGTGCATTTCTTTGTCCAATTAGTTGAGAACTTGCGGTGATTGGTCGATTTGGCCACATGACATCCCATTACGCAAAGCGGCACGTGCCTGACTGCCTGTTGCCGATGTATGTAGTCGCGTGGCGTGTTTCTAAACTTCTTGTGCTTTGTGAAGTGCATTTAAGCGTTTAAACTCTTGTATTTGTAATAAACTTTTGTAACTCAACAAAAGCAGTTGGTTGAAATGTTTAATATTGGCTCGCAAGTCTTGAGCAAGATCAATGTGTTTATGAAAATTACCTTTGCTCATCGGCGTAGAGACATTTTGGTGAACAATACCTTTGCTCATTGGCATAGAGACATTTTGGTGAACAATACCTTTGCTCATTGGCGTAGAGACATTTTGGTGAACACTACCTTTGCTCATTGGCGTAGAGACATTTTGGTGAACAATACCTTTGCTCATTGTCGTAGAGACATTTTGGTGAACAATACCTTTGCTCATTGGCATAGAGACATTTTGGTGAACAATACATTTGCTCATTGTCGTAGAGACATTTTGGTGAACAATACATTTGCTCATTGGCGTAGAGACATTTTGGTGAACAATACCTTTGCTCATTGGCATAGAGACATTTTGGTGAACAATACCTTTGCTCATTGGCATAGAGACATTTTGGTGAACAATACCTTTGCTCATTGGCATAGAGACATTTTGGTGAACAATACATTTGCTCATTGGCATAGAGACATTTTGGTGAACAACCTTTGCTCATTGGCATAGAGACATTTTGGTGAACAATACATTTGCTCATTGTCGAGAGACATTTTGGTGAACAATACCTTGCTCACATAGAGACATTTTGGTGAACAATACCTTTGCTCATTGGCATAGAGACATTTTGGTGAACAATACCTTTGCTCATTGGTGTAGAGACATTTTGGTGAACACTACCTTTGCTCATTGGCGTAGAGACATTTTGGTAAACACTACCTTTGCTCATTAGAGACATTTTGGTGAACACTACCTTTGCTCATTGGCGTAGAGACATTTTGGTGAACAATACCTTTGCTCATTGGTGTAGAGACATTTTGGTGAACACTACCTTTGCTCATTGGCGTAGAGACATTTTGGTGAACAATACCTTTGCTCATTGGCATAGAGACATTTTGGTGAACAATACAAGGGTTTGGAAGCTTCTGCATGACTACCCTTTTTTCAAACACACAAAGGGAGTTGAAGTAAGGTTTCATTTCTTTTTCTGATTTTTGAGTTTGTTTGAAGTATCAGTCATGTTAGCCTAATGAGAGGGTAATATTCATATGTGCATATTTACTAGATTCTAGTTCTACAAGCAATTTTAATTCAACAGATTATATGTAGCATATGAATTTATGAATATGAGTTTTTTGCCAATTATTAATTTGCCGCTGTCCATGAGTATGTATGCTGTAGCAAAACTGTCTGTTGAATCACAATTACTTAGAGAAAGATAATTAGTTTTTTGGTTTAATTTTTTCCAGCTAAAAGCAGAGTTGGAGCGTATTTTGGAGAAGAGTGATGTTGTGCCAGACATGAAGGAACGATGGAATTTGCACAAATATAAAATGCTGTTTGTTATTAAAAAGACAAAGCAAAAGAATGTCAGCAGTATCCTTGAAGAGCTGGAGGATTGTCCTATAGAAGATGAGAAAGGTTGGTGTAAAAATCAATAAGTTAAAATCCCTATTTATACTGAAGTGTTAATGCTTTAGAGAGTGATAATGGTAATATATTCATTCTATGCTATGTTGATTATTTTAGCAGTCAAGATAGAATATTACTGGATCATAAAACTAAATGGCATTTTCAAATCTTGAAAAAGTTTGACGTAAAATAATATTAAATATAAAATTCTATTTTCAATATGTTGATTAAATTTGCTTCATTCAGTAGCTAAATAATTGCAGGCTACCAACATGTATGAATTGCGTGCCAATTTTTTTAAATGTATGTCATTGTATTTAATAAACGCAGTGTTTTGGGAAATGTACCCAAAAGCCAAGAAATGAAAAGAAACGCGAATATTCATGATAACTACGATAAATAATGTTATGACAAATGGCTTCACTTGGCCCCAAATGTGGACACTGTTTTTTTTTCCAAACCAAAACGAAATGGGAGGGAAAACTGGCGGATCCGGTAAAAAACCCTCCAATAAAATTAAAAATTTAGAAGAATTGCCTCAAATTTTTGTAGTGTTTTATGATGTTTTATATTTTTGTTGTTTTCAATGATCCCGATGATCTACTTTAACATGCAGCGTAGTCAGATCGTGCGTCTTATACAGTCGTATAAAAAATTTAAATTTACGGAGCAATAAAAATGTGGGCTGACTACCCTATTGACACAGAAAATATTTTTTGTTCGTACAAAAGAAACGAAAACTTTTGTAGAGCACAAAAAATGAAATAGTGCAGAGTGTTAACAAAAATTGTAATCAATAGACGAAAAACGAAAACCAATAGCAGCCATATATAAATCATGTATAAAAATTATTCAGTACGTAGGGACCTGACCATTCACCTGTCCATAACAATTAAAAATAAAACGACTAAAGAGACGTTATGACTTGCATAAAAATAATTCTAGATGTCTGCTAGACTTTATTCCATTGAAATTTTCTACGTTGCCTCATTAATTAATAGCTGGCTTTTACTAGTGTGTTTTGTCAGAAAATTTAACAATTGTGAACATTTAGTTATACGGAAATTTTTAACGGTCGAATTTGAAAATGCGTTATACTGATAGACATTATGGATAAATAAATTAGCAAGTGGTGTATCTTTTAATAACGACGTTTGTTTCTTGGTGTTTCTGCCCGACTTCGTCGTTCATTCATTGTCCAGTTAGAAGGCCTACAGACATAGCTACTCTATGAAAAACACGTTATAAATGTCAGCATAATAAAGGAACAAAAACAGAAATTAATTAATACTTTAATACCTGATTTCCAAGGGTTGTCCTGGTCAGTTTGATCCAGGCGACTTGGTCGGTCTCTTCCTTTTTCACCGCGTAGTTTTTACGTTGTATTGTTGAAATTAATTGTAAAATTTTTATCTTAGTAATTCAATGAACCCTACTTGCATCATTGCAATTTTCTTAATAAACGTTAAATAAAATTACTAAAAAGTAGCGAGTGAAAGCCAGCTATTTTCTCATAGCAAGTGACATCTTTTACTGACACTTTTTTAAGTTTGGTGTTTTTCATCATTAAGTTTCAAATTATAAAAATAGACCATCAGGATCCTTTTTAACTGTCTCATGCAGTTACTCATACAAATTAATTTTAACACTTATATCTACTCAACTTACAAACCACAAGATATAGATCGTGTTTTTCCACTCGCTTGTTTTCCATCTTCGTAGAATGTAGTCCATTTTTATAGTGCAATCACTTCAATGTAAATGTTCATACGTACATATGCCGTTATGCGATGTCCATTCAACATGTCGATACCAATCCATACACGAAGTAAGGAGCATCATCAACCAATAAAGTAGCTACTGATATGATGAATCGCCATTTTGATATACTACAATTCACAATGCACTGTTATGGTAACTTCAAGCGAAGGAAAAGGGACCGCACTTCAATACCCCAGTTTTATCATTACTCAAAGAATGCTTAGTGCAGAGTTGATCTTCTGTGAGTATCAGTTGACCACCTTTAGGTGGGTTCATATAACAATGGGGCCCATCATCATTATATGAACAAACAACTGACATCAACAAAGAATCCAAACTACAAATGAACATTCTTGGCCATGAATCACCATGACACATGAGTAATGACAAACTAGTAAGAGTAATTGAAGTGAATGACACAGGTGGTAAAGGGACTTTCACAACTCCATTCTTGTGGGATCTACAATATAAGAAAATATGAAACACATGTATGAGATTTCATGATGAATAACTCTGTGTATGACGTTAGTTTGCGTTTTAAATTCTTAATCAGACATATTGAGAATGAACAAATTGTTATATGTTTTCTGTTTGACTATTTAAACGGTAGAACATTCACCTTCATTGCACGAATAGCTTTAGTGAGTTGAGTTTGAACGATGTAACAAGTTTCACACGATCAAAGACTTATAATCGTGATGAAAGCATTTTACAGTGGAAGCTTTCAAATTACGAGGCCTACACTAAGACCAGTTCATTATTCCATGTAACTCATACTTCTGTATTCGTCAGTAAAAAGACAGAATTTGCCTTTCTTTCTACAACGTTAAAGTGAGTAATTTTCTGTTGAAGTAAAACACACGAATTTAAATATGTTAACGTTTCTTTAATTGACGTCATGACTAAAATTATTATTGTGATTGCCTCCTTAGGAGCATGTCACCTTTCACAAAGACAACAAATAATCCTTCAATGCGTTTTTAAGGCCTGTTTCAAACATCGCATTTTACATGTGCTGAATGTTTTTGAGACAAAAGATAATAAGGATATTTATCTCATTATCTTTTGTTTTAAATGCAATGTTTGAAACATACCTTAAAAACGCATTGAAGGATTACTTGTTGTCTTTGTGAAAGGTGACATGCTCCTAAGGAGCCAATCACAATAATAATTTTAGTTATGACGTCAATTAAAGAAACGTTAACATGTTTAAATTCGTGTGTTTTACTTCAACAGAAAATTCAAAGTCAAATGACTACCGCTAAGGTTGTTGAAAGTTAAATATTCGCTGTGCAAATTATTTACCATCCAGTCATAGTGGACTTTGCTCTAAATTTGACAATTTACAAGGTGTAAATACTGTGAAATCAACTCTAAAATCACCCAAAAAACTTTTTCTCAATGACCAATGAACGAAAACTGTCGCTTTCAATTTCGCGTTGGAAATGGGCTCTTGGTAGATAAATGAAAAATGTGCCACAGGAAAACAAATAGTAAAATATCTTCGCAAAGTGAAAGTTTTAATGAGAAAAACATGTTATTTTATCATTATGAAAATGTTATTTATGTTCTTTTCACATGCTTTCCTTGACTTTGAAAAATGTTCAAAAAACAATAATTTTACATGGGTAAACAAAGAAATTATTCCCGTGAGATGAAACGTAACATGTAAAATTTACCTTCCATCTTTACTAAATGATGTTTGTCGAACGGCTGCTGTACATTTAGGATGAGAGAGAACTTTCTGCCTGCGTGGGAATTAAACAAATAAAATTGCATTAAGATGATGTATGTTGTTACCATTGAACATGGAACGCTACCTGAAGCAAATAATTAAAGCCAAATCTTACATCCAGACACGCGAGATTACACGCAGACACGCGTGTTTAGTGTCTCGAGATTCTCTCGCGGAGTGAAAATTGATTGACTACACATGTCCCTCAGAGACCTCGTTATCACCAGGACATCCTACTTGAGACATACGTAAAGGTTATCAGTCCATTTCCTCTTCATCCTCCAAACTGAAAGTGAAGAAGACAGCTACTAAAAACTTTAGAGAAGATTGATTGTTTTTCATTTAAGATGTTTACAGTGTTTGCACAGGATTATGAAAAGCAAGGAGACCTTTGGGAGAACTCGATCAGTGATGTCCAGAGTCAAAGGCTTGCACCTGCTCCAAAGTTCTCACAAACGTCTCCGAGGTTTGCATAAGCCTGTGTAAACACGAAAAACATCTTTTACTTCTTTTATAAAACAACGGTAATACAAAACAGACAAATTTAAAACAAATGTTTTAATTTTTCTTGTAACATGTATTCATGATTGATTTGGAAATTCTCTTTGATTGATTTTAATTGATTGAGCTCAGATAGGTTCGCTCATGCCAAGTTTGCTACTGTTAACTCAACTATAGACAAATCATAGTGATAGTAAGTGATACTTTACTTTCTACCATACAAACTATTGCAGAGAAACGAGCAAACAAGACAGAGACACAACACCAAATCAAACAACAACAAAAACTTGAACGTTTTTAAAACAAACTAAAACACGTGCAAGACATAAACATGACGATAACTGGGTGAGAAATATTTCTTCTCGCCCATTAGACGAAACTGAAACGCGACTACTATCTTACGGACTAAAAATTCCATAACACCTAGACAAATCCCGACTGAGACGATAGTATCAAGTGTCGAGGCTGTCCTAGCGTATCAAAGAGACTTGTCAGAGACAACCAAAGACGAGATCAGAAGCAGGATAGCCTCCACTTTCAATCGTCCTCTATACGTGACAACAACTTGACAAAGAACGAACAGCAAGCACTCAAACGACTAAAACACGACAACAACATCGTCATTTTACCAGCAGACAAAGGACGCGTGACTGTGGTCATGGACAGGAATGATTACTTTAACAAAATGGACGCACTTGTTAACGACAGACAAACGTACGAACAACTCAAACGAGACCCAACACCATCACTAGTACGCAAACTTAACAGCAAGATCTTCTCTATGAGAAAATCTAACATTATATCTGAACGTATTTACTATCGACTCAGATGTTCAGTACCACGACCATCCAGACTATACGGACTACCAAAACGTCACAAACCACAAATACCCATGCGACCAATTGTATCATTCTGTGGTTCGCCTACTTACGAACTTCCAAAGTACTTGACTAGCATACTGCAACCACTTACAAACAAATCAAAACACAAGCTACAATCCACTGAAACTTTCAAACTGTGCACTATACAAATACCGGACAACTATATACTAGTGTCTTTTGATGTGAAATCACTGTTCACCAGTATTCCACTCAATCTGGCACTTACTTGTACAAAAACCCTCATTACAAACACCAAGGACGTACTGCCATTACCGACAGAAGACATTATGGAGTTACTAGAGCTCTGCCTCACCTCGACTTACTTCCAATACAAAGGAACACACTACAAACAATTACATGGGACAGCAATGGGCTCGCCCGTTTCTGTTGTAGTTGCTGAAATTGTAATGCAATCTAAGAGGAACGGGCGCTCATGACTTACAAACATCCACTACCTTTTTGGTTTCGCTACGTAGATGACACAATCACAGCACTACATGCAGACGAGATTGATGACTTCCATACTCACATCAACAAACAGAACAGCCACATACAATTTACCAAAGATGTCGAAGAAAACGGAACTCTTCCTTTTCTCGACTGTTTGTAAAACATGACAATCAAAACTAGGAACAACAGTTTATCGCAAGCCAACACATACTGACCGACTACTAGACCAATCATCTTACAACCCTACATCACACAAAGCCACCACAATCAGAACATTAACAAGACGTGCACAAATCATATGTGATTCACCGGACGCTCTACAAAACGAAAACAACTATCTCAAACGTGTTTTTGACAAAAACAACTATAACTCTGACTTTATCAAATGCAACACTTACAAACCCAACGAACCCAACGAAACGAACAACTCAGTGACAACAGCAACGATACCTTACATCAAAGGTACGTCTGAGACTATCTCGCGTATCTTACGACCATACAACATACGTGTCGCACATAAACCAAATACGGCTAACCTGACGTTTACTCCTCATTTGACTCTGAAGATGACTACCGCTAAGGTTGTCGAAACGTCAGTCAACAACAACAAAAACAGTCCTTCTCAGGACTTTATTAACCTGGACGATCATCATTTACAAACATATAACGATACTCCCGGGTTCAAACCATTTACTTTATAGACAAATCAACGCACGCATTTTTCTGTCTTTATTTTATAAACAAAAATGGATACTTTTACCTTTGGGAATCATGTTCTTCTTCATCATCTTTCCAAAATGGCTGTGACATTAATATTGATTCTTTATCTTCATCAATATCTTCATCATGTTCATCATCACTACCTTCTTAATAAACAATAAAATAAAAAAGATTGATTGAAAAACTTCATATAAGACAAATTTTACTAAACACAAATGGAACTGTACACAATCACCATTGATATCCATGTCTAATCATGGCAGTGTGCAAATTAACGGTGTGCAATGTGCAATTTGCACATCGTTTTAGCTAAAATGAAAACAATTGCACATCACTTTTTCAAACGATATGCAAAAAACTTCATTATTGATTACTACCACATAAATTGAAAAAAGTTTTCAAGCTTAATCTTTACTGATCTTTACTTTATAAACGAGTGCGCTGCACGACATTAAAATCCATGTAGACACAATGTCATCAAATTCAAAGACGTTGTCACTGAGACTGGGAAGTCTGTCAACAGTCAACATACATGGTGCTTATATGCTTTTGACAATAGGGGTGTAATATATTATTAATGTCAATTTTTGCATTTGCGTTGTTTTGTAAACCGTTGCATACTGTTTTTGATATCATAGCTATTTTGAGTATTTTTGAGAAAATCAGGAAACATTTTGATTCTTAAAAAACAAAAAAGAACTTAAATAAGCCAAATTTGAAAAATAAACCAAAGGGAATTTCGATTTTAAATAAGTCTAACGTGAGAAAAAGAAACGAAATTTGGCTCAAAATATTAAGCCAAACTGGCGAACTTGAACAAATATGATGTTTTTTTATCGTAAGCAAACATCAAGGATGTTGCTGTTAATAATCAGAAAGAAAAAGTATATTCGGTTATTCTCTTTTTAATTTTGCACAAAAAAAGAGGAGAGAATAACATGCGCAAAAAACGTCTTTCATACATTTGTAACTGGATCAGCGATTGTAACGAAAAACACTGTCGTAAATCATGAATTTGTTCACGTTTAAAAATGTTAATTTAGCAATTAGCGCTTTGTAATAATTAACGTAATATCGATTTGATTATGCCTCTAAAGAAACACTTTTGTCAAAAAAAAATTGCACATCGTTTTTTCTCAACTAATTCGCACACTGAATACGATCTAACGACAAAAAAGTTGAATTTTTACCTACGTATTGTTAACTGTTAAGTAAAAGAAAATTAATAAAGGAGCAGTTGTACACATCTTCATGTAACGATGAAAATGTTTAAACTTAAGAAAACATGAAATTTTATGCACTAGAAAACAGCTGCATTGTGGGATATATAAGTCAGAGCCTCATAAATCATTACTGTGAGATATACAATGATGTGACATGTATTTTTTTGTACCTTACCTTGTGAAACAGGAAGAGCAACTTGTGAAGATAGTCCAATATCTCGTCTTCGTTGTCTTTCATCTTCCCACATAGCAGTTATACCAGGATTATGACCAATACAACCTTCATAAACATAATAAACTCATTAAAGATGTATAAACAGTAAAATGAAGACATAAAGATAAGTAAATTTTACTTTCAACATTTATTTGATTCAAGATGTCTTCAGCAATTACATCAACTTCAAGTTCACAACGACTGACTTTTTTCACAGTAGGATCCAGGCATAAATTTCTAAATAATGACAAATAACAAACATTAAAATGATGAATATCAACTGTAAAGATAGTTATCACAAAGAATCATTCCAAAGTTAAACTAATTTTTTAAATGTAAATTCTGTAATCTGGATTGAGCATTGACTCTAAATCTTGGGATAAATCATACACACATGTGTCAAATTTAGGATTAAGGATTTACACAAATCCTTTTGGTTTCAATTAATCTTCAAGTGTAAAATATATGAATCAGACAAACCTAGGAATAGTGTCTTCATTCCAGTGTTGAGATGAAGGAAAATTGAGAAATGAATTTGGAGATGAACCATGAAGTGGAATTGATTTATTATTATATGAAAGATTTTTATCTATAAAATTCAATTTGATGGTAAATAATCATTTGTGGTGTTAAATTTTTATAGAATGCTGAAAAAATCAATAATGAAACTTTCCTGTTTTTGAAGAAATTCCTCTAAAATGAACTTTTCTTACATGAAGTAAGTTCATACCATAAAGATTGTAATCAATTAGAAACTAAAATAAACAATATTTCAATATAATTCTTATAATGTAACTTAGTGAAAATATATAGAAGTTGGCCATCCAGGTAGGAAAAGACTAAAAAAGGTCAGTGGCATTAGTGTTGAATGACATTTTAACATTGTTAGCAGTAATCATCTCATCTAGATGTGAAAACATCAATCAAGACTACCCCAACAGTCCTTCTCAATACTGTAGTATCCTTTATGATCAACATCAACAAACATACAGCTATACTTCCACAATGTGTTCAAACCATTCACTTTATTGACAAAATGTTTTGCACATGAAATTTACAGCTATAATCCATAATGGAATGTTTTATTGGGCACCTGAGATCTGATGTATAATTATAGCAAAGTGGGCACCTATACATGCAAATGTTGCATCTCTGATGTCGGTAGAAAAGTCAGCCCATTTTTTACTCCTATGTACAATACAAATATTGCTTTAATCAATTACTTTGAAAAACAATGAATGAGATTAATTTCTAAAGAAATAAACAACAAACTTTGCAGGCCTTGCCCCCTGTCTGGTGCACAGTTTACAAACTAACCACTCCAGTCTGGGTTATAACAATCAAAGATGTGTTTTTCCTCATTAATAATAAAAACAATAATTACCTGTAGAATATAAGGAACATGAGCGTGTGGTTGAAATGACTTGTTCAATATAGCTCCATTCTGAAGAAGATCAACAAGTCTGAAAAAATGAAAAATTTTGATGTCGTTTTATGTTAGAACAACATGAAAAATATATCTTACTTGGGAATTATTCTTGGATTGTACAACTCCATCTTAATAAACTCTTCTTCGTTCTCATGATAACCATAAAATGGTCTAAAAATAAAATCATTTTGGGTGAATAATATTGAAACGTTATTGGGTCGAAAATGGAAGATTTTGTATTGTGATGTAAAGAAGAGAGTAAAAAGATTTAATAATAGTAAGCTTTGTCAACATGAGGAGAAAACAAGGAAAATAACACATTTTTTAACAATTTCAGTTTTATGAACATATTTCATAGAAGATGATGTTCTACCAAACGCAACTTGAACAGCAAAGTCTACACTTGTCGTAAATTGTTTCAGATATTTATCTGTGGGTTTAGTTCCATCGTAAGGTATGTATAAGTAAGAAAATACTTGATGAATATGAACACAAGTTTTCTGTCCACGAGGAGTTGAGCCAAATATCCTCAAAACAGGAACACGGTTAACATTCGCCTCGCGAAATTTAGAAAACAAAATATCTAAGCCATCTATAGGTTTTCCCACGTAAAAATCTGCATCTACAGTCCTAACAGAAAACATTCTGTTGTTCCAAGTAAGAAAATATATCGTCAATTAAGATTTTTGAAAGACGAAAGACGAGAGTTGAATCCGCCATATTTGTTTTAGATTATAGATTAGCCAATCAAAGATTTTATAATCAAACCCTTATACCAAGTCATCGTAATCACCTTTTGGGGATTAGATGGGATTTAGAAATTTTCCAAGGGTGAGCATGACTTTATAGACCTCGCTAGAAAGGCTCACGCGTTTGGCGTTAGAAAATATGCTCCCTAGAAGTTCATGTCTTTCTTCATGTCTAACTACGACATTGCATGTAAAGGATTTCCGCTTTCGTCGAGCAAAATAGTGTCCGCATCCTGATGTTTTTGGTCCCGTACACCCATGTCAATACTGAAAATTAATAATAGTTAAATGTGTACAACATTTATGAGTTGATTGAGTTAAACTGAAATTGAATTTGCAATAAAATTTCTAAATCAAACCCTGTCGTGTATATTTCAATTATAGCTAAAATATAAAATTTGCACATCTCATTTTATCGTCTCGCTGTTATGACCAGAATTCAATATTTTACAATAAAAACAGCAGGTGATTAAAATTTAGCATTTATTGAACATTCCAATTTCTTTATTATCAAGCAGAAGGAAGGGCATCACGTAGCTGGTTGCGTCTTCTTTAATCTTTCTAAATTTGTTAAGGTATGTTGATTATAAAGTTCACCTATCAGAGTGTAATTGTTTGTTCTTATATCCAGAATTTTGTTATATTTGTCATAAAAAACCTGAATGTCATTTTCGTGGTGGAATTCACACTTCATATGTTTTATATTGATACATCTGTTGATTTTGGTGGGATTTTCCCAATAACACATTGGATAATTTATCATTTCAAAATACTGACCTTTCTTGCATTATCACCAACAATTAATTTCGCTAGTCTTTTCAAATATCATTGGTACGGCAGGGCTAAAAAATCAACAAAATGAATCAAAATCATGACACGTCACAGAATTTCAGTTATGCATATCATAAATGCGGAATGATTTTAACTTTATCTAACATGGCTTTTATCAAGAAGAATTTTTTTCCTCTTTTATATAGTCATCTATCTCTTTATCTTATTCGTACCACAGATGATGACATAAAAACGTTTTGCTAGGTATGTCTTTAGAAGTTGCGCCTAATTGGAGTGAAAAGATCACTTCTTCACGTGATAGTACATGTGATTTTTTTCTGGTCTATATTTGTTCAACTTGTTGTAAGATAGACTATTTAAAATATTTGTTTGCGTCAAAAGTTCACAAAATGACAAAACTTTGTATGATGAAGTGTCAAGTCCAAACGTTATCAGTTTTGTAGTATCTATGATTACTGAGATGTTACAAAGTTATTCTAAATTAGAGACTTCGAGATTAATTACGCTGATATTCCCTTCTTAAATGAAGATTGCCCCTAAAATCTTGAGCCCCCCAACTTTTACTTGCTTCTCACGCCCCGGATCAAATTTTTTGTTTATCCGTATCAAAAGTTATCAAAAGGACAAAACTTCATTGACAACGTTTCAAAGTTGGAACGCTGAGAATTTCAGAGAAGCTCTGTTTATCGATTTTCTTAACTTCCTAAAATATAAATCTTTAATTTTTAAGCTATCTTACTTGTAAAAGCCCGGCTACTCGTCTTCCTTTATGATTATTTCAGTTAGTTTGCATGTAAGTCAGGATGTTCAATAATTGAAATAAATAATAGTAAACTGTGTAAGGTTTATTGGCATAAAGCTTCCAAGTCAAAACTTCTTTGTGTTTACTTCAGTAATAGCTAAAATAAAAAAATTGCATTTCATATTCTATTGGGTGTGACCAGAATTCAATATTTTACAATAAAAACAGCAGGTGATTGAAATTGAACATTTATTGAACATTCCAATTTCTTTATTATCAAGCAGAAGCAAGGGCATCACGTAGCTGGTTGCGTCTCCTTTAATCTATGAAAATTTGTTAAGGTATGCTGATTATAAAGTTTACCTTTCAGAGTGTCATTGTTCATTCTTATGTCTAGAACTACGCTTTATTTATCATAAAAACCTGAATGTCATTTTCGTGGTGGAATTCGCACTTTAAATGTTTTATATTGATACATCTGTTTATTTTCGTGAGATATTCTCAATAACACGTTGGATAATTTATCATTTCAAAATACTGACCTTTCTTGCAGTATCACCAACAATTAATTTCACTTTTCTTTTCAAATATTATTGGTAGGGCTAGAAAATCTACAAAATGAATCAAAATCATGACACGTCACAGAATTTCAGTTATGCATATCATAAATGCGGAATGATTTTAATTTTATCTAACATGGCTTTTATTAAGAAGAATTTTTTCCTCTTTTATATAGTCATCTATATATTTATCTTATTTTTGACACAGATGATGACATAAATACGTTTTCCTAGGTATGACTTTAAAATTGCGCCTTATTGGAGTAAAAAGCTCACTTTTCACGTGATAGTACACGTGATTTTTTCTGGTCTATATTTGTTCAACTTGTTGTAAGATAGACTATTTAAAATATTTGTTTGCGTCAAAAGTTCACAAAATGACAAAACTTTGCATGAAATATGTGTCAAGTCCAAACGCTATCAATTTTGAATTATCTCTGATTACTGAGATGTGACAAACTATTCAAAATTAGAGACTTCAAGATTAATTACTCTGATATTCCCTTCTTAAATAAAGATTGCCCCTAAAATCTTGAGCCCCCCAACTTTTACTTGCTTCTCACGCCCCTGATCAAATTATTTGTTTATCCGCATCAAAAGTTTACAAAATGACAAAACTTCATTGACAACGTTTCAAAGTTGGAACGCTGACAATTTTAGAGAAACTCTGTTTATCGATTTTCTTAACTTCCTGAAATATAAATCTTTAGTTTTTGAGCTATCTTGCTTTTAAAAGGCTGGCTGTCCGTCTTCCTTTATGATTATTGCAGATAGTTTGCATGTAAGCCAGGATGTCCAATAATTGAAATAAATAATAGTAAACTGTGAAAGGTTTATTGGCATAAAGAATCAAAGTCAAAACTTCTTTGTGTTTACTTCAGTCATAGCTAAAATAAAAAATTTGCATTTCATATTTTATTGGGTGTGAAGAGAATTCAATATTTTACAATAAAAACAGCAGGTGATTAAAATTGAACATTTAGTGAACATTCCAATTTCTTTATTATCAAGCAGAAGCAAGGGCATCACGTAGCTAGTTGCGTCTCCTTTAATCTTTCTAAATTTGTTAAGGTATGTTGATTATAAAGTTTACCTATCATAGTGTCATAGTTCTTATGACTAGAATTTTGTTATATTTGTCATAAAAAGCCGGAATGTCATTTTCGTGGTGGAATTCTTACTTCATATGTTTTATATTGATACATCTGTTGATTTTGGTGGGATTTTCCCAATAACACATTGGATAATTTATCATTTCAAAATACTGACCTTTCTTGCATTATCACCAACAATTAATTTCACTTGTCTTTTAAAATATCATTGGTACGGCAGGGCTAAAAATCAACAAAATGAATCAAAATCATGACATGTCACAGAATTTAAGTTATGCATATCATTATGTGCAATATTTTTAATTTTATCTAACATGGCTTTTATCAAGAAGAATTTTTTCCTCATTCATATAGTCATCTATCTATTTATTTTATTGCTAGCACAGATGATGACATAAAAACGTTTTGCTAGGTATGTCTTTAGGAATTGCGCTTACTTAGAGTGAAAAGCTCACTTCTTCACGTGATAGTACACGTGATTTTTTTTGGTCTATAATTGTTCAACTTGTTGTGAGATAGACTATTTAAAATATTTGTTTGCGTCCAAAGTTCACAAAATGACAATACTTTGCATGATGAACTGTCAAGTCCAAACGCCATCAATTTTGAAGTATCTCTGATTACTGTGATGTGGCAAAATTATTCTAAATTAGACACTTTGAGATTAATTACTCTGAAATTCAATTTTTAAATAAAGACTGCCCCTAAAATCTTGAGCCCCCCAACTTTTACTTGCTTCTCGCGCCCCTGATCAAATTATTTGTTTATCCGTATCAAAAGTTTACAAAATGACAAAACTTCATTAACCACGTTTCAAAGTTGGAACGCTGAGAATTTTAGAGAAGCTCTGTTTATCGATTTTCTTAACTTCCTAAATTATAAATCTTTAATTTTTGAGCTATCTTACTTATAAAAGGCTGGCTGCCCCGTCTTCCTTTATGATTATTTCAGTTAGTTTGCATGTAAGTCCGGATGTTCAATAATTGAAATAAATAATAGTAAACTGTGAAAGTCAAAATGACTCTGAAGATGACTATAAGGTTGTCGAAAGTCAGTCAACAAGACAAAACAGTCCTTTCAGGACTATACCAACTGGACGATCTACATTTTCAAACATGGAAAATATTCAAACCATTTACTTTATTGTGAAAGGTTTATTGGCATAAAGTTTCCAAGTCAAAACTTCTTTGTCTTTACTTCAGTCATATCTAATATAAAAAATTTGGGTTTCATATTTAATTGGTGATAAAAATTAAACACTTATTGAACATTCCAATTTCTTTATTATCAAACAGAAGCAAAGACATCACGTAGCTGGTTGGGTCTTCTTTAATCTTTCTAAATTTGTTAAGGTATGTTGATTATAAAGTTCACCTATCAGAGTGTAATTGTTTGTTCTTATGTCTAGAATTTTGTTATATTTTTCATAAAAAACCTGAATGTCATTTTCGTGGTGGAATTCGCGCTTCATATGTTTTATATTAATACATCTGTTGATTTTGGTGGGATTTTCCCAATAACACATTGGATAATTTATCATTTCAAAATACTGACCTTTCTTGCATTATCACCAACAATTAATTTCACTTGTCTTTTAAAATATCATTGGTACGGCAGGGCTAAAAATCAACAAAATGAATCAAAATCATGACACGTCACAGAATTTCAGTTATGCATATTTTTAATTTTATCTAACATGGCTTTTATCAAGAAGAATTTTTTCCTCATTCATATAGTCATCTATCTATTTATTTTATTGCTAGCACAGATGATGACATAAAAACGTTTTGCTAGGTATGTCTTTAGGAATTGCGCTTACTTAGAGTGAAAAGCTCACTTCTTCACGTGATAGTACACGTGATTTTTTTTGGTCTATAATTGTTCAACTTGTTGTGAGATAGACTATTTAAAATATTTGTTTGCGTCCAAAGTTCACAAAATGACAATACTTTGCATGATGAACTGTCAAGTCCAAACGCCATCAATTTTGAAGTATCTCTGATTACTGTGATGTGGCAAAATTATTCTAAATTAAACACTTTGAGATTAATTACTCTGAAATTCAATTTTTAAATAAAGACTGCCCCTAAAATCTTGAGCCCCCCAACTTTTACTTGCTTCTCGCGCCCCTGATCAAATTATTTGTTTATCCGTATCAAAAGTTTACAAAATGACAAAACTTCATTAACCACGTTTCAAAGTTGGAACGCTGAGAATTTTAGAGAAGCTCTGTTTATCGATTTTCTTAACTTCCTAAATTATAAATCTTTAATTTTTGAGCTATCTTACTTATAAAAGGCTGGCTGCCCCGTCTTCCTTTATGATTATTTCAGTTAGTTTGCATGTAAGTCCGGATGTTCAATAATTGAAATAAATAATAGTAAACTGTGAAAGTCAAAATGACTCTGAAGATGACTACCGCTAAGGTTGTCGAAACGTCAGTCAACAACGACAAAAACAGTCCTTCTCAGGACTATACCAACCTGGACGATCTACATTTTCAAACATGGAACGATACTCCCGGGTTCAAACCATTTACTTTATTGTGAAAGGTTTATTGGCATAAAGCTTCCAAGTCAAAACTTCTTTGTCTTTACTTCAGTCATATCTAATATAAAAAATTTGGGTTTCATATTTAATTGGTGATAAAAATTAAACACTTATTGAACATTCCAATTTCTTTATTATCAAACAGAAGCAAAGACATCACGTAGCTGGTTGGGTCTTCTTTAATCTTTCTAAATTTGTTAAGGTATGTTGATTATAAAGTTCACCTATCAGAGTGTAATTGTTTGTTCTTATGTCTAGAATTTTGTTATATTTTTCATAAAAAACGTGAATGTCATTTTCGTGGTGGAATTCGCGCTTCATATGTTTTATATTGATACCTCTGTTGATTTTGGTGGGATTTTCCCAATAACACATTGGATAATTTATCATTTCAAAATACTGACCTTTCTTGCATTATCACCAACAATTAATTTCACTTGTCTTTTAAAATATCATTGGTACGGCAGGGCTAAAAATCAACAAAATGAATCAAAATCATGACACATCACAGAATTTAAGTTATGCATATCATTATGTGCAATATTTTTAATTTTATCTAACATGGCTTTTATCAAGAAGAATTTTTTCCTCATTCATATAGTCATCTATCTATTTATTTTATTGCTAGCACAGATGATGACATAAAAACGTTTTGCTAGGTATGTCTTTAGGAATTGCGCTTACTTAGAGTGAAAAGCTCACTTCTTCACGTGATAGTACACGTGATTTTTTTTGGTCTATAATTGTTCAACTTGTTGTGAGATAGACTATTTAAAATATTTGTTTGCGTCCAAAGTTGACAAAATGACAATACTTTGCATGATGAACTGTCAAGTCCAAACGCCATCAATTTTGAAGTATCTCTGATTACTGAGATTTTGGCAAAATTATTCTAATTTAGAGACTTTGAGATTAATTACTCTGAAATTCCCTTCTTAAATAACGATTGCCCCTGAAATCTTGAGCCCCCCAACTTTTACTTGCTTCTTACGCCCCTGATCAGATTATTTGTTTATCCGTATCAAAAGTTTACAAAATGACAAAACTTCATTAACCACGTTTCAAAGTTGGAACGCTGAGAATTTTAGAGAAGCTCTGTTTATCGATTTTCTTAACTTCCTAAATTATAAATCTTTAATTTTTGAGCTATCTTACTTATAAAAGGCTGGCTGCCTGTCTTCCTTTATGATTATTTCAGTTAGTTTGCATGTAAGTCCGGATGTTCAATAATTGAAATAAATAATAGTAAACTGTGAAAGTCAAAATGACTTGAAGATGACTACCGCTGTCGAAACGTCAGTCAACAAGACAAAACAGTCCTTCAGGATATACCAACCTACGATCTACATTTCAAACATAAATACTTTCAAACCATTTACTTTATTGTGAAAGGTTTATTTAAAGCTTCAAGTCAAAACTTCTTTGTCTTTACTTCAGTCATATCTAATATAAAAATTTGGGTTTCATATTTAATTGGTGATAAAAATTAAACACTTATTGAACATTCCAATTTCTTTATTATCAAACAGAAGCAAAGACATCACGTAGCTGGTTGGGTCTTCTTTAATCTTTCTAAATTTGTTAAGGTATGTTGATTATAAAGTTCACCTATCAGAGTGTAATTGTTTGTTCTTATGTCTAGAATTTTGTTATATTTTTCATAAAAAACGTGAATGTCATTTTCGTGGTGGAATTCGCGCTTCATATGTTTTATATTGATACCTCTGTTGATTTTGGTGGGATTTTCCCAATAACACATTGGATAATTTATCATTTCAAAATACTGACCTTTCTTGCATTATCACCAACAATTAATTTCACTTGTCTTTTAAAATATCATTGGTACGGCAGGGCTAAAAATCAACAAAATGAATCAAAATCATGACACGTCACAGAATTTAAGTTATGCATATCATTATGTGCAATATTTTTAATTTTATCTAACATGGCTTTTATCAAGAAGAATTTTTTCCTCATTCATATAGTCATCTATCTATTTATTTTATTGCTAGCACAGATGATGACATAAAAACGTTTTGCTAGGTATGTCTTTAGGAATTGCGCTTACTTAGAGTGAAAAGCTCACTTCTTCACGTGATAGTACACGTGATTTTTTTTGGTCTATAATTGTTCAACTTGTTGTGAGATAGACTATTTAAAATATTTGTTTGCGTCAAAGTTCACAAAATGACAATACTTTGCATGATGAACTGTCAAGTCCAAACGCCATCAATTTTGAAGTATCTCTGATTACTGAGATGTGACAAAATTATTCTAAATTAGAGACTTTGAGATTAATTACTCTGAAATTCAATTTTTAAATAAAGACTGCCCCTAAAATCTTGAGCCCCCAACTTTTACTTTGCTTCACGCCCCTGATCAAATTATTTGTTTATCCGTATCAAAAGTTTACAAAATGACAAAACTTCATTAACCACGTTTCAAAGTTGGAACGCTGAGAATTTTAGAGAAGCTCTGTTTATCGATTTTCTTAACTTCCTAAATTATAAATCTTTAATTTTTGAGCTATCTTACTTATAAAAGGCTGGCTGCCCCGTCTTCCTTTATGATTATTTCAGTTAGTTTGCATGTAAGTCCGGATGTTCAATAATTGAAATAAATAATAGTAAACTGTGAAAGTCAAAATGACTCTGAAGATGACTACCGCTAAGGTTGTCGAAACGTCAGTCAACAACGACAAAAACAGTCCTTCTCAGGACTATACCAACCTGGACGATCTACATTTTCAAACATGGAACGATACTCCAGGGTTCAAACCATTTACTTTATTGTGAAAGGTTTATTGGCATAAAGCTTCCAAGTCAAAACTTCTTTGTCTTTACTTCAGTCATATCTAATATAAAAAATTTGGGTTTCATATTTAATTGGTGATAAAAATTAAACACTTATTGAACATTCCAATTTCTTTATTATCAAACAGAAGCAAAGACATCACGTAGCTGGTTGGGTCTTCTTTAATCTTTCTAAATTTGTTAAGGTATGTTGATTATAAAGTTCACCTATCAGAGTGTAATTGTTTGTTCTTATGTCTAGAATTTTGTTATATTTTTCATAAAAAACCTGAATGTCATTTTCGTGGTGGAATTTGCGCTTCATATGTTTTATATTGATACCTCTGTTGATTTTGGTGGGATTTTCTCAATAACACATTGGATTATTTATCTATTTAAAATACTGACCTTTCTTGCATTATCACCAACAATTAATTTCGCTTGCCTTTTCAAATATCATTGGTTGGGCAGGGCTAAAAAATGAACTAAGTGAATCAAAATTATGACATGTCACAGAATTTCAGTTATGCATATCATAAATGTGGAATGATTTTATTTTTATCTAACTTGGCTTTTTTCAAGAAGAATGTTTCTCCTCTTTTATACAGTCATTTATCTATTTATCTTTATCGTACCACAGATAATGACATAAAAACGTTTTGCTAGGTATGTCTTTAGAAATTGCGCCTAATTGGAGTGAAAAGATCACTCTTCACGTGATAGTACACGTGACTTTTTTCTGGTCTATATTTGTTCAACTTGTTGTAAGATAGACTATTTAAAATATTTGTTTGCGTCAAAAATTCACAAAATGACAAAACTTTGTATGATGAACTGTCAAGTCCAAACTTTATCAGTTTTGTAGTATCTCTGATTACTGAGATGTGACAAAATTATTCTAAATTAGAGACTTCGAGATTGATTACTCTGATATTCCCTTCTTAAATAAAGACTGCCCCTAAAATCTTGAGCCCCCCAACTTTTACTTGCTTCTCACGCCCCTGATCAAATTATTTGTTTATCCGTATCAAAAGTTTACAAAATGACAAAACTTCTTTGACCACGTTTCAAAGTTGAAACGCTGACAATTTCAGAAAAGCTCTGTTTATCGATTTTCTTAACTTCCTAAATTATAAATCTTTAATTTTTGAGCTATCTTACTTGTAAAAGCCCGGCTGCTTATCTTCCTTTATGATTATTTCAGTTAGTTTGCATGTAAGTCAGGATGTAAAATAATTGAAATAAATTATAGTAAACTGTGAAAGCTTTATTGGCATAAAGCTTCCAAGACAAAACTTCCTTGTGTTTACTTCAGTCACAGCTAAAATAAAAAATTTGCATTTCATATTCTATTGGGTATGAACAGGATTCAATATTTTACAATAAAAACAGCAGGTGATTAAAATCAAGTATTTATTTAACATTCCAATTTCTTTATTATCAAGCAAAAGCAAACACATCATGTAGTTGATTGCGTCATTTTTAATCTTTTTGAATTTGTGAAGGTATGTTGATTTTAAAGTTTACTCCCTTTATGTGATGGTGTATTTTAACCTTCTGATTTAATGTTTCGTGTCCATGTATCAATTGTTTTGTTTTGATGTCACGAATATCGTAGTTAAATATAACTCATAAATTACTTCCTCGCCACGTATGTTTTATATGGATAACAATTCTTAAGTTTTGTGAGATTTTCAAACACAGATAAATTTTGAATGATTTACACTGTGAAAATACCGACTTTTCCCACATTTATACCAATTAAACAAAATATATTTACAACATTAGTGTTTAGTGCAAATGTTATCGTTGTATTTTTGATATATATAACTATAAAGTGATCAATTGTCAAAGATTTTCATGATAAATTTATGTGCCCTGTGCATAGAAATTTCAATTCAACCGAAGATGACTTTCATTCAAATACTATAGTTAATCAATCTGTTGTATTTTTCGGAAACAAATTCTACAGTTATTTAAATTGAATAACAACTATCGTTCTTATCTGTTTAAATAACACGTCGACGCTTGCTGGTAAAATTATAAAAAAGTGTAATTAAAACTAACAACTTGCCCTCCCAGTGTCAACAAGACCATGTAATAAACTGAACTATATAAATATCTTTTAACTATTGAATATTTCTTCTCGCAAACTATCAACACTCCCACTTGATGGTTGTGCGAGAAATTTCGTCTTTAAACTAAATAAACATTTAATAGAGTTCTAAACTTTTCGAAGGTTGGCTTGGGCAATGCCTTTGTCATTATGTCAGCGATCATCCTTTCGGTTGGAGAATATTCCACTTTAATTTCCTTTGACGAAATCCTTTCACGAATAAACTGATGACATATATCTATGTGTTTAGTACGTTTGTAAGGGCTTGGGTTTTTGGTTAACTCTAGCGCACCTTGATTATCTTCAAAAATAATGATGGGCGTCTTCGTGTTTAATCCCAAATCGCTCCAAACATTCACAACCAAATCGCTTTTTGCGTTGTTATAGACAATGCAACATATTCTGCCTCAATAAAAGATTTGGCAACAGTACCTTGCTTCTTACTTGACCAACTCACTGTGTTTACTCCAAGTTTAAAACGTGATCTGATGTAGATCTTCTTGAATCTATATCTTCCGCCCGTTCGGAATCTGAAAATTCAACTAATTTGGGGTCATCATCAGCGGTATCCTTCAGTCCATAATTTAACGTTCCTTTTAGATAGCAAAGAGCACGCTTCACCCCGATCCAATGATCATTGCTTGGTTTTGCCATGTATTTAGATAGGACATTTACGGCTGCTCTGATATCGGGACTGGTAATTACTGATAAATATGTTAAGCATCCTATATTTTGTTAATATGTCTGCACATCAACAAACCTTCTCGCTTTTTTGCACTTCGTGAGATTTCTTACCATTTTCCATCGGTGTGGACATCGATTTGCACGATTTCATACCAAATCTTGTCAATATCTTTTCCATATAATTTCGTTGACTTATTGTTATTGTCTTCGCCTTGCGATCATGATTGATCAGCATTCCTAATAAGAAGTGAACTTCTCCACGATCATCCATCCTGAATTTTTGGCATAGTGCTTGTTTTCCTGCATTAAGCATATCGACATCGTTGGACACTGGCAATATATCGTCGACGTAAACTCCTAGAATCACAAAACTAATGTGCCCATTGTCCTTCTTTACTGATTTAACATATTTAAATCCGTCTGCATTATTCTTTCGATAACCAATTGATAATAGGTATTTGTCAAGCGTATCATACCAACTTCGAGTCGATTGCTTGAGGCCATAAATGCTTTTATTTAATCTGCATACGTGATTAGGTTTCCGTGGATCAACGAATTCATCTGGTTGAGACATATAAATTTCGTAATCTATATTGCCGTTTAGAAACGCTGTTTTGACATCCATCTGGTGGAATTCAAGATTCTGAGCATTTCCCATGGATAGCAAGGATCTGATTAACGGGTATTTGGCAACGAGAGAAAATACTTCTTTGTAATCTGTTCCTTTCGATTGTGAGTATCCTTGTGCAACCAGTCTGGCTTTACATCTGTCAACGGATCCATTTTCAGTCCTCTTTACCTTAAAAACCCATTTTGAACCGATGAAGTTCTTCTCTTGCGATGGTGCAACCAATTCCCGAGTGTTATTTTCCAAAAGAGATGAGTATTCTTCTGTCATGGCATTCTTCCATAATTCTGCATGCTTTCCATTCAGTGCTTCATTAACGCTTTTAGGATCATCTATGTCTGAAATCAGCGATTCAGCAACTTGATATGCGTCTTCACGAAATCGATGAGGGATTTTTCTTTCTCTTGTTTGTCCTAAATTCCTTACACCTTCCATAAATGAATTTTCGTATGTCTTTTGAATTGGTGGTTCTACATTTTCTCCCACTTGCTCAGTATCTTCTCTGCTTGAGCATTGTTCATCATTTATAGTCATCCTTTGTTGAAACTGTGTCGCTTGCTCTTCTGCATCAGTTGTATCAGCATTTTCGTTGGTTCCTTCATTCTGTTTTTCTTCTGATGTTACATCTTCTTCGTCCATATGAACGACGGTATCGCTTAACATATCGACATTCCTCTGCTGTGATTGTTCAGCAAAAGGAAATTTGTTTTCAAGAAATACTACGTCTCTAATGATTGTAAAACGGTTTCGGTTTAAGTCAAATACCTTGTATCCTTTAGTGCTCGAGGGATATCTGACAAAGATTGCTTCGTTTGATTTTTGATTAAGCTTCTGACGATTACAGCTTTGGACGTGTAAAAAACATGTGCATCCAAATTCCTTAAGGTTTGAAAGATCAGGCCTCTCTCCAAATAAGCATTCAAATGGTGTTTTGTTCATTAATGTAGCTGTGGCACTTCGATTATGAAGATAAATGGCGGTATTACAAGCTTCCACCTAAAAGTTCATTGGCAATGCAGCAGTGTATATCATTGACCTGGCAGATTCCAACGTTGTACGGTTGAGACGCTCTGCCACTCCGTTCTGTTCTGGGCAATATGGGCTTGTGAATTCTTGATTTATTCCTTCGTTAGCGCAATAATTGATGAAATCGTTTGATGTGTATTCCCCACCATTGTCACTCCTTGAGATCTTCACATGTCGTTTGTTTGAACTCTGGTTTTTCATATTATTAACAAATTCTTTAAACTTTGCGAGTACTTCACTCTTGCGCTTGATGAAATATGCAACTTCAAGCCGTGAATAGTCGTCAATAAATGTTACCATATATCTACTGCCTCCCTTCGATTCAACTTGCATGGAGCCACATACATCACTGTGGACAACTTCATAAGCTTTAGTAGCTCTGTGTTGACTTGCTTTAGGAGAAGGATTTCTGTGCATCTTTCCGTGGATGCATCCTTCACACTTGTTTGCAGCTTTCTTGTTTCATTATCTTTCACCATATTTTTCTTCATCGTTTTCTTTTTGTAATCATGATTGAGATGGCCTAACCTTTGATGCCATATTTAAGAAGATGTATCAATTGACGATTGAGAATATTCAGGATCCTTTACAGTATATAACATACCATCTGTTAACTCGCCAATAACATAATCTTTATTATTCTTTGATACATCAATTTGATACAATCATTTCGATCAAATTTGACTTTGGTTTCCATGGCAATCATTGCTGGTAAGGAGAGTAGATTTTTTGCATGCTTTGGCACATACAACACTTTGTGCAACTCAACACGGTATAATAACTTTACCAGACCTTCACCAAGAGCATGTATCACAGTGTTGTCTCCTAAATACATTTCTGTTTGTGTTTGATATTCAACATAGTCCACAAACAAATCCTTGCTGTGTGTCATATCACTCATATGCTTTGTTGCAGTGAAATCGATGAATCATTCATCAGAGGGTTTAATATTATGAATAAAAGCAACATTAGTGCCTTCAATAACACATGAACTTCCTTCTTTCTTATTGGTTGTATTCAACGGACAATTTCTTGCTATGTGTCCCACCTGGTTACATCTGAAACAGGTAACATTTCTTCCTTATTGGAATCACACCTTCTTTCATCTCTTCCCATGTTCCATCCTGGTTTGCTGTGTTGTGAAATTTCTCCTCTAGGCCTTTCATTGACTTTTCCAAAGTCATTCCTTTTTCTTCGATTGTAGTTTTCCTTTTTTCTCATGTATAATGCATTGTCTTCTTTCTTATCTTCTTTCTTCTCTTTACGTTTAAGATTTTCCTCAATCAACGATCATTTTATATTATCCCAGTCCATATCTTCAACTTTTCTGGCGTTTAAACTAGTGATGAATTTCTCGTACGGCTCTGGTAGACTACCTAATAACACCATTGCGAATTTCTTTGACGGAATTTCCTCATTCGTTTCACGCAGTTGTTCTGCTAATGTGGTCATATATGTGATATGCTTCAGCAAATCTCCCCTTCTTCCATGCACTCCCAGTGTTTACAAGACCATGTGCTTTCTAAAATATGTATTGATTTACATTTATGAATGACATAAAAAACTGAACTATATACATATCTTTTAACTATTGAATATCTCTTCTCTCAAACTATCATAATTCTGACATTATGAAATGTAAACTTATGACAATTCCTTCTGAATGTTTTCAAAAAGTAAAACCCTATTTTTGGGCTTACTACAGCACAGACATACAATTTTTTGCATAAATCTAGGGCGTCAGCAAGCATTTTCGGAAGAGACCAAACATCTTTGAATACCAGCTCGTTGCAGTAGGCAAAGCAGTGAATATAAAGTGGATGTTTGCAAACTTCATCTTTTATTAGCACCGCCAACTGTTTCATTGCTAAAGCTCCATCAAATGCCATAGCTGCCATTCTTTGAGGATTCAAATTGCAATGCACCAATATGTCTTTAACATACTTTAAAAGGGCTTCAGATGATAAACTCTCGTCACATGGCATGACGCCAATAAAACGATTATCTTTCTCCGCCTGGTCTATTTTTCTATACGCAGTCGTCACATAAGTTTTAAATTTATGTAAACTAAAACTTATAAACTGAACTTGCTTCACTTTTCTTGACGACACGGTAGAATGAAAATGGAGACATACAAGGTATTATTATTTATGAAGGATTTTAAAAACTTGTCTAACTTCCAGAGAAATGCCTAAATGCAGGACAAATTTTAACACAAATATTCACAGGGTTGTTTTTAGCTACCACCTTCCTTAACCATTTTCATATACAACTGAAAATTTACGAACTGATAATATTCAACAAATTTCAGTTGTCCATAAATTATGGTTAATAAACTATATCCATCTTCATCTTAATCCTTTTATAATCCGTAGATGGAGTCAAAAGAAGAAAGGAATAACTACTACATTCAGAAAATACTTTCAGATGTTGTTACGAAGAAACTTGTTGATCTTTTTATCAAAGAATGGAACACTCATCACAAAAAATCCCACGGAGAATGGGAAAATACAAACGTTAGTGGTCAGGAGTTGTTCAACATTGAAAGATCAAAAAAAATATTTCGTGATGAAAAAACATTGTTAAAACTTAAAGATGGTGACACAAGTAAGTGGGATTGCACGACAATATGTAAAGCAATATTGTTTACCCACTCAATTGGAACAAGAATTGATCCAAAAGTTAAAGCTGCTGTGGAAAAACTTCGTGATGTAAGAAACGGTTTCACCCATGAAAATCCAGGAAGAGTATCTAATACTGAATTTGACACAATGCTTTGTGATATTGAAAAGTCATTTAAAGATCTAGCATTTTCATTCACTGAAATTAATGAAATTAAATGTCAACGAAACACATTTAATTCTTTTCAAGAACTTCCTTGCAAACCAAATCACGATGTGGTTAAACGTACAGAGTTAGTTAATCAAATCACAGCAGATCTCAATAACTTGCACAGTACTAACAATAATGAACTAACATATTACTATATTTCTGGTAATCCTGGCAGTGGTAAATCTCAATTAGCTAGACAAGTTTGTGAAGAAATGTATAACTCGTTTGACTGGGAAAATAAAACATCATTTGTGATGACACTCGAAGGAAAAGATATCGACTCTCTTTTGAAAACTTATGCTGAACTTTGTAAACGATTAAGCAATGATAAAACTGCCATTGAAAATATTTTAAAAGAAGCAAAAAGCAGGGAAGACAAAATTAAAGATTTTCAATTATTTCTGAAACAACAACTGAAATCTTGGCGAACATGGTGGATTGTTGTAGATAACGTGGTTGAACTTCATAAAATTTATCCATTATTACCTCAAGTTGGTGATCATAGCTGGAAAAATGGTCAAATTATAGTAACTGTCCAAAATACAGATGCTATACCACCAGATGGAAATCTAAGTAAACACATTTCAGTTGCTCATGGTATGAACAATGAAGAATGTCGAGAACTTCTATCTGTCTTTTCTGATATTCATAATGAAGATGAAAAATCTTTAAAGGATGTATCAGACAAATTAGATTGTCAACCGTTGTTCTTGGCAAATGCTGCTTCCTACGTAGGTAATGTAAAAAGTGTAAATCCGACATTCACGTGGGACAAATATTTTGATAAGTTGAATGAAGGAAGGCGACAGAAAATGGATGGCAATTTTCAAAAAATAAACTCAGCTTACTTAGGAATGAAAACTGTTATGTTAGCAGTACAAAAAAATGCCGAAGAATCCATCTTGTTGAAACATGCTTTTAAACTTTTCACATTAATATCTTTCGATCCCTTACCACAAGATGTTATAATACCATTTATTAAAAGCATTGATCCACAAATATCTGAAGAAGATGTCTGTCTTCAATTAAAGCATTGTTCTTTATTCCTTCAAACGGAAAACAACGACATCCGCCTGCACAGCGTTGTACACGAAGCCATCATAAATTATTCATCGCAGACCTTTGGCTGTAAACAAAACGAAAATAATTCTAAAAAGTCTGCAGCTGATCTTGCCTGTCAAGTTGCTTGGGCACTAAATCATTTTGAAGACAGAGAAGATGAAATCAAAATAATTCCACATCTAATTAAATTCATAACAAATTCATCATTTCAACATTTCCTAAATAAGTTGATCGATGTAAAATCATCAAAACAAAAACTTGATGAAAGAAATTGGAAATTTGCCAAATATTTTGTAGATGTTTTGAAAAGATTTTGCAACTATAAACTGGCAACTAAAGTACTTTATGAAATAACAGACATTCAAACTAAAGTGTTAGGTGTTGATCATATTGATGTTTCATATTCGTACAACGAGCTAGGTTTATTGCTTTATAAGAATGGAGAATATGAAAATGCTAAAGATTTTCACGAACGAGCGATGGAAATTCAAGCAAAAACATTTGGACCTGACCATGTTAATATTGCGGCAACGTACAGCAATTTGGGTTTAATTTACAACGATATGGGAGAGTATGAAAAAGCAAAAGATTTTTATGAACGAGCGATAGAAATTCAAACAAAAACATTTGGACCTGACCATGTTAATATTGCGACAACATACATCAATCTGGGTTCAATTTACATCGATATGGGAGAGTATGAAAAAGCAAAATATTTTAATGAACGAGCGATGAAAATTGAAACGAAAGCATTTGGACCTGACCATGTTAATATTGCGGCAACGTGCAACAATCTGGGTTCGGTTTACGGAAAAATTGGAGAGTACGAAAAAGCAAGAGATTTTTATGAACGAGCGATAGAAATTCAAACGAAATCATTTGGACCTGACCATGTTAATATTGCGATAACGTACAGCAATCTGAGTTCGGTTTACAATGAAATGGGAGAGTACGAAAAAGCAAAAGACTTTTATGAACGAGCGATGGAAATTCTAACAAAAACATTTGGACCTGACCATGTTAATGTTGCGAAAACGTACAACAATCTAGGTTTGGTTTACAGTAATATGGGAGAGTACGAAAAAGCAAAAGATTTTTATGAACGAGCGATAGAAATTGAAACGAAAACATTTGGACCTGACCATGTTAATATTGCGACAACGTACAACAATCTGGGTTTGGTTTACAGTAAAATGGGAGAGTACGAAAAAGCAAAAGATTTTTTGAACGAGCGATAGAAATTGAAACGAAAGCATTTGGACCTGACCATGTTAATATTGCGACAACGTACAACAATCTGGGTTTTGTTTACAGTAAAACGGAAGAGTACGAAAAAGCAAAAGATTTTTTTGAACGAGCGATAGAAATTGAAACGAAAACATTTGGACCTGACCATGTTAATATTGCGACAACGTACAACAATCTGGGTTTTGTTTACAGTAAAATGGGAGAGTACGAAAAAGCAAAAGATTTTATGAACGAGCGATAGAAATTGAAACGAAAACATTTGGACCTGACCATGTTAATATTGCGTCAACGTACAACAATCTGGGTTCGGTTTACAATGAAATGGGAGAGTACGAAAAAGCAAAAGATTTTTATGAACGAGCGATAGAAATTCAAACGAAAGCATTTGGACCTGACCATGTTAATATTGCGGCAACGTACAACAATCTGGGTTCGATTTACAGTAAAATGGGAGAGTACGAAAAAGCAAAAGACTTTTATGAACGAATAATGGAAATTCAAACAAAAGCATTTGGACCTGACCATGTTAATAATGCGTCAACGTACAACAATCTGGGTTCGGTTTACAATCAAATGGAAGAGTACGAAAAAGCAAAAGATTTTTATGAACGAGCGATAGAAATTCAAACGAAAACATTTGGACCTGACCATGTTAATATTGCGAAAACGTACAACAATCTGGGTTCGGTTTACAATCAAATGGGAGAGTACGAAAAAGCAAAAGATTTTTATGAACGAGCGATGAAAATTCAAACGAAAGCATTTGGACCTGACCATGTTAATATTGCGACAACGTACAACAATCTGGGTTTGGTTTACAATAATATGGGAGAGTACGAAAAAGCAAAAGATTTTTATGAACGAGCGATAGAAATTCAAACGAAAACATTTGGACCTGACCATGTTAATATTGCGTCAACGTACAACAATCTGGGTTTGGTTTACAATCAAATGGGAGAGTACGAAAAAGCAAAAGATTTTTATGAACGAGCGATAGAAATTCAAACGAAAACATTTGGACCTGACCATGTTAATATTGCGACAACGTACAACAATCTGGGTTTTGTTTACAGTAAAATGGGAGAGTACGAAAAAGCAAAAGATTTTTTTGAACGAGCGATGAAAATTAAAAAAAAAACATTTGGACCTGATCATGTTAATATTGCAAAAACGTACAGCCATCTGGGTTCGGTTTACAAAGATATGGGAGAGTACGAAAAAGCAAAAGATTTTTATGAACGAGCGATAGAAATTGAAACGAAAACATTTGGACCTGACCATGTTAGTATTGCGAAAACGTACAACAATCTGGGTTTGGTTTACCGTAATATGGGAGAGTACGAAAGAGCTAAAAATTTTTATGAACGAGTGAAAGAAATTCACACGAAAACATTTGGACCTGACCATGTTAATATTACGACAACGTACAACAATCTGGGTTTGGTTTACAGTTATATGGGAGAGTACGAAAAAGCAAAAGATTTTTATGAACGAGCGATAGAAATTCAAACGAAAACATTTGGACCTGACCATGTTAATATTGCGACAACGTACAACAATCTGGGTTTGGTTTACAAAGATATGGGAGAGTACGAAAAAGCAAAAGATTTTTTTGAACGAGCGATAGAAATTGAAACGAAAACATTTGGACCTGACCATGTTAATATTGCGATAACGTACAACAATCTGGGTTTGGTTTACGAAGGTATGGCAGAGTACGAAAATGCAAAAGATTTTTACGACCGAGCGATGAAAATTAAAACAAAAACATTTGGACCTGACCATGTTCATACTACGAGAAAGCAATCACGCTGTAATTTACTGTGATAGGAAAAACACAAAAAACCAACATAATAAAGTTTATAACGATAGAAATTGAAAGTGAAGCATTTGACCTTTATATTTATCTTTTATTTGCCAACAGCTAAAAGTCTTTCGTATTTGAGAAACATTTCACGAGATAAAGGAAGAGAAAAAGGACAAAAGACAGTTGTATTTTCAGTTTAAAGCGATAGAAATTGAAACGAAAGCATTTGGACCTGAACATGTACTGTAATAATATACAATAATCTTCATTTGGTTATAAACAAACTATAGATATTGAAACTGAAGCATTTGGACTTCTATTTATCTTTTATTTGCTAGAAGCTAAATTACTCCTGTCTTTGAGAAAATGTACAAGAAGATAGAAGAAGAGGAAATGAATTTGTAGCTCATTTTCAATGAAGAAGAAAATCAATTTATCTTTTCATTTTAGGTATGTGTTCTTTATACTAAAGATGATTAGAAACAGTTGTATTGTAGATTTCTTTTAACAAAGGTTCAAATAACAACACTTGTATACTTATAAAAGGTATAAATATATTATTGACAATATTCAAACATTTGTATTTTCAAGTTTTCAACTGTCATTTATTTACTGGAACAGTTTTTATTAAAAAACTTGTATGGAACTATCAAAGTATATTTATGAGTTTAGTTTGCAATATCTATCTATTCAGAAGTTGTGAAGTTCCTTAAAATGAATGTTGTTGGGTCATTTTCTTGTATAATGAGAGTAAATACTGATCTTACAGCAACCATGATCATGTAACATCCCTTTTTGAAATGCTGAAAAGCCCACAAGATTTGCTTTGCTATATAAGTATGAATACAGTCTTTTCTATATTTATTTCTATTCATTCATATAATTTACAAAATATACTTTCTATTTATGAGAATTGTAGTTGTTTGAAATGGACATGCAGTTATTGTTATTTGATTCAATCATACTTGATTTGGGGACTAAATTGTTGTTGTTTGTTTTTACTAGGAAATATTTATTTAATGATTGATTCAATAATACTTTATTATAGTTCAAACTGTAAAGGCAATGTAAAGTAAAAGTTATAAATAACCTGAAGACGAAAAAGCAGGATGTCATTGCCATAGCATTGACAGAAGTGAAAATGACACATTTAACTGTCCGACTACCAGATTTACTAATAAATAAAAAATCCCAGCAGTGGCGCAGGATAGTTGTTAATTGGGGGGGGGTCACAAATTCATTTATGCATGCCTTAATCTGTTGAAAACAATGGATTTCAAAGGCACTTAATGTGGCAGAACATGAATATATGAAAATGTGCCTCCTACCCAAAATAAAGAGTCTGCTATGTCATTTATTCCCAGGGCATCTTGAAGAGCTCTGGCATTGTGTGTAACAGTTAGTATTTCATTTTGCAAGGAACTTCTTATTTTTTTCCAAAACATTATTTGAACATTAGAGAAATTGTGTACAAACTATAAAAAGTTTATATTTGGAATATATTTCTAGGGCAACACCCTCCTTTAAAGTATGTATCCATGTTCAGGAGTGAATGACATGACCAGACATTTTTGGCTAATGTCTTTACAACTGATAAGAACAGTAAATGAGTCATTTCTACTGGTGTCTTTACTACTGATATGGACAGTAATGAGTCATTTTCATTGCTATGACATCCATGTCTTGCTTTTGCTTTAGTTTATACTTTACATTGCTTTGAAACTGATTCTCCCAGCTACACAATTCTCTAAAACACAAATTAAATTTTACCATTTATCACTGTGAACAGAAATTTGTATATTTACACAGCAAAGCCAGTGTTTGGGCTTTTTAGAAAACTTACTAAGCACTATAAATTTTACATGTAAATAATGTACATGTTAAGATTTTTCTTATCAAACAACAAAATGAACCAAAACAAACACTCCATTTAAACCTTTGCCTACAGAAATTAAAAATATAACTGTTGCTGGTCAGCTAAAGGAGAAAGAAAACATACCCAAAAGTCAGGGCTAACAAAGCATCTTGTTCCTTGAAATGGAGCCACAAATCCATTCATTTCTGTAAAGACTAAACACAATAAAAATCCTTTGCTGGCAAGCGTTTTGATAGATCTGGCATTGGTGACCACCTGACAATGTAATTTATCTTTATGTATGTTTTAGGTAGTGATGTAGACAAGAAAAATGGAGATTTTACTCTAATTATGTGTGTCTGGCCCATATTTACTGTTGTCATCTCATATGTAGTGTAGTGAGTAACGAAAAAGTAATTGAACAATAAAATATTTATTTTCATAGCACTGGTAGACTTGCTATACGCTACGAGTTGTCATGGTGTTATTAAAGGGCTGAATTCTGATATCTTCCTTTGATTCTTATTTTTATTTTCCGTAAATTATACACGTATTTAATAAAATATACATTTAAGTTGATTTATCAAAGGGAACCCCACGGTCTGGGGATCTAAGTTCTTGATACAGGGTGTTTCAAAAAAAGGTAATCCAACTTTTACTTGCTGATGTGTGTAAAGTACTCAATAAATAACTGTAGTTTTAAATATTTAAAAAGAGTTCTAGGTTCTAGCTATGGAATGCTATGTTGTTTGTTGCGATTTGGAAGGAAAATGAGTGAAATGCAAGCGCGTTGAAAAATTTTGGTCAAAGTCGCATTCTTTCACCTTTGAACATTTTTCCATCAACATGAAAGGTGCTTCACTTTGATTTTGCTGGTTTGTTGACTGACTATCACATATTTCATGGTGATGTCTCATTTTTCAACCTTGACAATATTTGAAATTATCTGACATTTACAATTTCCATGATTCAGCAAAAATTGATCCTCAAGGAGCCTTAATTAAACGTAGTTAAATACATAATAAATTAATAACTACATACGTATAATATAGAAGCTACAGTGCATTAAAAATCCCAGTCAAGAAACTTATTTTAATTACATTTATACCTCCTAGCGTGGAGATCAATCATTGCCGCTGAATCATGCAAATTTCAAACTATCGGCTGATTTCAAAGATGACCAGTTCTTTTGAGACATATTGTAAGATATTTTGATTACAAAAAATTTGCAAAGATCATCAAGTGTACGCTCACTACGCTGAAATCGATCGAGGTGTTTAACTACACTGTGAAGCATTTGGAAGAAATAAAAGCATAGAGCACTGTTTTACCCGCTGTTAATCAAGTTGTACTAGATTTTTAAACCCTTAATTAGCATTAAATTTGTTTCTATATCTCAAATATAATACGCTTTAATAATTATTTTAAACATTGATTTGTTTTATCTTTCGTCATTGACTTCAATTTTTGTCGATCGAAACAATAGTTGACTTGAAGTGTGATTTTATTGGGGTTTTTTGTGTCATCTCTATCCTAATCATAAAATATTTTTGAACTATTGTAAAGATAACAACATCGCAATGAAGACATAATTGAATTCATCTCTTGGCATAGGAAAAGGTTAAACTCTTACCTCTTGGTTTATTAAATATTAAAAGTTCCGTACATGCATTACAGAAAATGAAATTTTGTACAGTTACAAAAGCTAATTTAAACACATGAGATAAACACAACTTTCTCATGAGTATATTTTGTTGCTGTAAAAATCTTACCATCATAAATCGTTGGTTAAAAGTGACTTGTCTTTCGATCAATTGTCGAGACAGGAATCGTGATCTAAGAAAGAAAAATGCTCAGGAAAACGTTTTAAAACAGCCAAAGGCCAATAAACTGCATTTGACTTGGAGACACAGGAGATTAAAACGTCGCTAAAGAACAAAATCTTTTCATTTCCCATTTATAGCTTGCCATGTAAACGGCCTGGTGGACTCACAATATATATACGTCTTGTAAAATTACTGTCAAAAACGATGAAGGAGGAAAAAGATACTTACCATCTTCATATTTCCTCATTTATAAAGCGGTTAAGACGAAGTAGAATATCAATTCGTAAATAGCTCAGCCTCAAGGGAATGGTGAACAAAAGCCAAATACGTTTTCATCGTGGTCAATAATCAATTTCTTTATTTATATAAGTCCTCCATCATGGTGAATTAAAACCACAAACATTTGTTCTATGTTTCTCGATCGCATCAACAGAAAAATGTTCATGTCTAAAATAAAGCAAAGAATTAACATTAACAAAAACGAAAACTTTATAAGAAGACGTATATTTAGGTCACACATTTTGCATAAAGATATTAATGTCGTTTACATTTCACACTTCAATCAAAGAGAGAGTTCTCTCCTAACACGAATATCAAAAATCACATTTACCTGAACATGTTATCGAAACAGTCAAAGATATATTTCGCTTTCGGCAAATATTCTTCGTGTATGTAGGAAGTTAGAGATTTAAATAACGCATTGACAGTTTGAGTTGATCTTATAATATGCCCCAAGTTGCGGAAAGCGTGTGTTTTCTGATTGGTCAGTTCTTAGGCGTGTACTTAATTCTACATGGTACACAAGTAAAAATGACTTGCTAATTGCATCTCATTTCTTTTTGTTTTTATGAGCGAACGCTTTAATTTTTAAGGTTTGCTGCTTGCGTAAAGCCGGGTTCAGATATGACTGAGACATGACTGAGACATACCTGTGACGATGCCTGCGTTGTTCTTAAGGCAAATGTAAAAACTCATCGCTGACACACTAATGGTGTTTCAGGCAGTAGTAGGAGTTACCTGCAGTATACCGCTGAAATGCCGTAAAAGTTGAGTTGTGTTCAAGTTTCCCGACATGTCGGCGGCTAAACGGTGGTGTACGGAACTTATTTTGGTTATTTATGTTAAATGTGAACGTTTCTCAGATTGACCGGCGATTTCCCATCATGCATTTGGGTAAAAAGATGGTGGATGAATTTTCAACACAGTACATGGAACCAAAAAAAGACTCAATGGAAAAATTCCGATCACTTTACGATAAAAATAAAAACTTATGGATACAATACGCAACTCTCGGGCTATTTATGATAAATCGTGTCCAGAGTACAAAAATCAAAGAGTAAAATACAAATTATTCTCTTTTTTTCAAATCGGCTCTCCCATCTTTGATGTATTTTGAAATGACTGTTAAAAGGGCCGCATAATTTGCTAATAGTAACGCTATTTTCAAATTACGAAGCACTATTTTGTCAAATTCAAACTGCAGCTAAATTTTTGTGGTCGATCGGCGATTTGAATTATGTCATTGAAAAGCAACGCAGACATGCCTCAGCTCTGACTCAGCCACAAGATCAGAAAGTATTTCAGGCTTGCCCTTAATAATGCCTCAGTCATGTCTCAGTCATATGTGAACCAGGCTTAAGTGGAAATTCTTTATGTCTTTCTAAAGGTAAGGTCCTCTTTAAACGTCGCATTTTACATGAACCAAATGCATTAAAAACAAAATAAATGAGAAAAAAATCCTCGATATCTTTTGTTTTAAATGCATTCGGCTCATGTAAAATTCGACGTTTCAAACAGGCCTAAGATAAATAGTAAACTCAATGACATAAAAAGAACTTAAAAAATGGCGGTATTTTTCGAGAACTCGAATATTCGTTAACCGCCTGAACGTACATTTCAACATTAATGTTTGTCATTATTTAAAATTTTCTGATGAGGAACAGAGATGATTTTAAAAATATATAAGCAAATAACATAATGGTAATGAAACATTACTTGCTTTTTAATTCATAGGTTAAAACGTTTTCAAAGGCAGTATTGAGAAATGTCTTCGACGAGGATCGGGGCATCTCATTACTAAGATATAGTGTAATTTATATTTCCACTTTTTTATATACCATTCCCAAATTTTTATTAATTTAAACGTTTGTTTGTTCAGAGACTTGTTGTAGACACCAATGTTCGATAGACTAGTGAAACGCAGGCAATAGCGAGATGTTTTTGACATTATGCAGATACATAAAATAGAAAATTTAAACAACAAAGTTGTAGTGGTTGTGTTGGCAAAACCTTGTTATGATGTTGTATTTTGATACCCAACATTTTGAGTTTCCATCCATTTTTGCCAGATTATATCAATCATACTGGTATTTTTGTAATTGTCAATCATAAAAAAGCAAATCCTTACGTACTCATCGAGTGCCTATTTTTTACAAATTATCATTGTATAAAGAATGTTTCAATGACACATCCTGTATAATTATTAAAAAGAAAATTTAAAATGTTATAAGCACATTAAACAAACAATTGTCGAATGCGTCAGCAACCAACCTGGTGAAACGGTAAATGAATTGAAGAAATAAAAATTTTATTAACATGAAAGTTGTTTAAAAGTCACTATTTGTTAAACGGCTTATTTTGATATCTATGTTGCATGCTTCGTTGTTTGTCCGTCTATGCTTAATTAATCTTTTGCTTGTATTTATGTGTCTGTTGATATCGAAAATAATGAGTTACAATGAAACAATGTTAGTGGTCCAAAAACAAAAGAATATTTTACGAATAATAGAAATGAAATTGTTTAGTACATACAAAGAAAATACAAGTCAATTGAGCAAAAATATATTTCTTGTGATCATTTATGTACATTTATACCTGTATTAGATGGCAATCCTTGACAGAATAGCGAAATGGTGATCCATTATGATCCATTATAAATTACTGGAACTCCAAAACCTTTTAGATTTGTGCTGTAAAAAGATAAATGTATAAATAACAAAGTTTAACCATGAGCGGCCCAAAAAATCACTTAAATTGTATAAACCAACGATAACTCGCCCCATTCCATCGTAACAGACCGTGCCCCGAAAACTTTGTATTGATTGATTGTATCTATATTATATATTTACCTAAAAAAATATATTAATAAATAAGAAAAACAAATACATAAATGAATATATAATATAGATACAATTAATCAATACAAAGTTTGCGGGGCACGGTCTGTTTAGATGGAATGGGGAGAGTTATCGTTTGTTTAAATTTCTATCATGAATACAAAGTTTACGGCGCAAGGTCTGTTTAGATGGAATGGGGAGAGCTATCGTTTGTTTAAATTTCTATCATGAATACAAAGTTTACGGCAAAAGGTCTGTTTAGATGGAATGGGAGAGTTATCGTTTGTTTAAATTTCTATCATGAATACAAAGTTTACGTGCAAGGTCTGTTTAGATGGAATGGGGAGAGTTATCGTTTGTTTAAATTTCTATCATGAATACAAAGTTTACGGCGCAAGGTCTGTTTAGATGGAATGGGGAGAGCTTATCGTTTGTTTAAATTTTTATCATGAATACAAAGTTTACGGCGCACGGTCTGTTTAGATGGAATGGGAGAGTTATCGTTTGTTTAAATTTCTATCATGAATACAAAGTTTACGGCGCAAGGTCTGTTTAGATGGAATGGGAGAGTTATCGTTTGTTTAAATTTCTATCATGAATACAAAGTTTACGGCGCAAGGTCTGTTTAGATGGAATGGGGAGAGTTATCGTTTGTTTAAATTTCTATCATGAATACAAAGTTTACGGCACAAGGTCTGTTTAGATGGAATGGGGAGAGCTATCGTTTGTTTAAATTTCTATCATGAATACAAAGTTTACGGCACAAGGTCTGTTTAGATGGAATGGGGAGAGCTATCGTTTGTTTAAATTTCTATCATGAATACAAAGTTTACGGCACAAGGTCTGTTTAGATGGAATGGGAGAGCTATCGTTTGTTTAAATTTCTATCATGAATACAAAGTTTACGGCAAGGTCTGTTTAGATGGAATGGGGAGAGTTATCGTTTGTTTAAATTTCTATCATGAATACAAAGTTTACGGCACACGGTCTGTTTAGATGGAATGGGGAGAGTTATCGTTTGTTTAAATTTCTATCATGAATACAAAGTTTACGGTCTGTTTAGATGGAATGGGAGAGTTATCGTTTGTTTAAATTTCTATCATTACAAAGTTTACGGATGGAATGGGAGAGTTATCGTTTGTTTAAATTTCTATCATGAATACAAAGTTTACGGCACACGGTCTGTTTAGATGGAATGGGGAGAGTTATCGTTTGTTTAAATTTCTATCATGAATACAAAGTTTACGGCGCAAGGTCTGTTTAGATGGAATGGGGAGAGTTATCGTTTGTTTAAATTTCTATCATGAATACAAAGTTTACAGCACACGGTCTGTTTAGATGGAATGGGGAGAGTTATCGTTTGTTTAAATTTCTATCATGAATACAAAGTTTACGGCACAAGGTCCGTTTAGATGGAATGGGGAGAGTTATCATTTGTTTAAATTTCTATCATGACAAGATCAAAGTTACCTCAACACAAGGCATTCGTACTGAGAAGTTTGCTGATGTGTAACCATAAGTTACCTCAACACAAGGCATTCGTCCTGAGAAGTTTGCTGATGTGTAACCATAAGTTTACCTCAACACAAGGCATTCGTCCTGAGAAGTTTGCTGATGTGTAACCATAAGTGACATTTGCAATCAACTTTAAAGCAAGTTGTCGAGCATCAAGAAGTTGAAGAAGAGTCTAAAATGTAAATTATTTATGATATTGAATGATTAAAGAAAACAAACGAAGAGTGGAAAGGCATCTTTTTTGAACATGATGAAAACTCCATGACGTTTTAGCTACTGGATCTTATAAAAACATCAAAGATCGCTTCAAAAACAAAGGTTTAATAAAACCAACTTACTTTATCATCTTTACAATCTTTCATAGCTTTCTTTACCATAATACGTGTGTATAATATCTCCTCTAACATTCTAAAATAAATCAAACTTATTGAACATATAATAGCCAAAGATATCAAGACCCATTTAGGAGAGTAAAGACTTAAGAAGGAACGCTATGTACATTGCAAAATATACAACAAAATGCAAATGTTATTTTTTCAACAATCTTTTGAATCAATAAAAATGTGACCTGTAACCAAATGAATGTGAAATATCCCACATTACCTGGGTAAAATTCCTCGTCTTATGTTAGATTTTACAAAAACAGAGCCGTTGGCGCTTACATGAATATCATCTTGCAGTTTCTGAAAGGAAATGTATTGTTTCAAATGTATTGCTTGTCGTGATGGTAATTTATTAAAAATTCTCACCTCCAGTAATGTTGGAGGAACATTCAACGATGTACAACCAAACTCAAAATGAACAACGACATGTAAGACAGAGAAAATGACTTTTTACCTTAATTTTACAATCCATGCTACACGACAGAAGAAGATGAGCAGATTTCGGAAAGAATCTTATTGCAGAAACACCTTTAGTGTGACCAGACCTAAGAGAAAGATAAAATAATACAATAATACATAAGTAAGAATATCTCCATTGCTTTCTTTTATCACGACGGTAGAAGGATGAACTACAGGAAAACAAATACTTAAATGTTATTAAAAAGTGCTGTATAAAGTGAATATTTGCATCAGGAAGTATCGTTACGTTTTGTCGAGGTTAGTAGAGTCCTGTGAAGGACTGTTGGTGTTGATGTTGACTGACGTTTCGACAACCTTAGCAGTAGTCATCTTCAGAGTCAAATGATAAGTAAATGTCAGGTTAGCCGTGTTTCTTAAAACAAGTGCTAAGGAAGTCCAATACAATATCTACAAACATACGTACGTAGTACTAGAACAAATCATTACTTTATAATAAATAATACACTGATAAATATGATTTTATAAACATATCAAATGATCACCTAAACGTCTCGAATCAAACAGAAGCATCGTATTAAAAAAACGCTCATATTTTAAGTTTATATTTGGATGAGACGCTTTCTCTAATGAATACTGTAATGTATAATTGAACTTCCTCAATACCATCAAGAATTATATCATAAACTGTCTTTAAACTTAATTCAATTATTGCGTGTTTTCCTTAAAATCTACAAAATTTAAAGCATATTGATGACTCCAAGTCAGACGTTCCATGGCGTTTCTAATTACATTTTAGTAAGTAAACTTTCATATTTCTTCTGTTTTTGTTTTACAGTAAAGTAACAGAAAACAAACAAAAGCAAGAACAACTAAAATTCAATAGCGTGTTTAACGTCATTTCTGGTATTTTAACTTCCATTTTTTGATTTTGAATAAATTAACTAAATGGAGAATTGTTTACATACCATGTATGAATATGTTGTTTTGGTAGAAAGCAACGTTCTGGAGGAGTATCTGACTTGAGATTAATGCCAAGATCTTGTGGAATGTGAAGATATGATCTTCTTTGATAGTCATATTTATCTTTAACTGAAAAATAATTACATTTGGTAATGTTTCGGAAACTACAAGAAAGTATGAAAATCTTAACTTACTGTGTAAGGTGGATTTCTCTTCTGAAGGTTTCATATCATCTTTCTTTGATTTGTTTTTTTTTCGATAATTCATACTCCTCAAGGATTGTCGACTCTTCCTGTATTCACCAAGGTAAAATGCCAGAAAAATAATTGTTTGATTTGAAAAATATCTTTATAAAACTCTTTATTTGGGTAATTGAAATACCTCAGATGGTTTAGCAATAGTTTCTTCATCAACAAACTTACTCCATGGTCCTATAGGATAACAGAGAATAAGAGATAGTAGGACAACCTTTCAAAAGTTATGATTATTTTAGTAATCGTACCCTTGTATCCATCAATCACACCAGGATCTCCCCTATCCTCTCTCTTCCGCTTATCTCCCGCCCGCTGTTTTGTAGCTTTAAACACAGTCAATCCTTGCTTTCCTTTGATTTCTTAACACCCCCTACAAACCTTAATGGATAACAATTGATATCAACATAAAACATTACCAAGCCTATGCATTTTCGTACTCCGAGTCAGTATTTTGCCAGCGTGCAGAAATTGAGTTTTCCCTTTCCATGATCTTCAACTGCTCGTCAATTCTAAACAGTAAATACCAAATCATTACAAATATAAGACACGGTCAGACAAGCACCTGCAAGTTGCATATACATCTCTACTTGTACGTACGTATAAAAACAAGAAATAATTTTTTATTCGATATTCCAACTTATTATTCACAATGTTACGACGTACATTCATAGCTTCAAAATTTTCCCACTTCATTTTTCTAAATTCACACTGTTTAAGACTTTAATATCTCTAGAAACATGTTGAACTTTTCGAACATACTTTTCATCTGATTAAATGGAACAGTCAGTTCACTTGGATCAGTGCAACCATTCCATCGATGGTAAAGATCAGCGTACAAGTCCAGGTATATAACATACTTGCATTTCCAATCTTCTTCTTCTGTAAGTTGTTCAAGATTTACGTATATTTGTTAAAAAGTTTTCTGTGGGTAAAACATTTCCACATAATGAGCATCAATAATTATGTGTCAAATCTGTTCCTTAGCTACAAGCCATTGTTTCTCAATTACTAACCAGTCTCAACTTCACGACCAAAAAAAGTCGATTCGTCCTTCATCCACTCACGAATATCATCTATTGAAATGCTGTGAGCTTTAGATAATGAAAAAGAAAATTTACTGCTTTCATGTGAGTCGTAAATAGTTCATATCCAAAATCGGAGTCAAATATAATCACACAGCAAATACAAACATATACTCACACGGAAAGCACCTGCATAACTTTTCAATATCTGATTTTGCAGTTTCTTCCACGTCAACAGCTCGCTTCATCCTTGCCATCAGCAAATTGCCTCAAAAAACAAAATTTAATTCATACCTGCTATTACATAATATGATGACATGTTAGCTATGTATATGTTCAAACAAAGAAAGAAAAACTAGCTATACCTAAATTAATCTTCGTTTTCTTTCCATAATGTAAAAGAGCATCACTGAGTACATCAACTCTGTGACTTGGACGCATTTCTTTAGTCATTCTGCTAAATTTGCGAATGTAAGCTCACAATCTCTCCAACATCTCACCGTCAGTTAGGCCAAATCCTTCTTTACGACGGGGACTAAATTTAACCTTTTACAAGAAAGATTTAGTAAACAATTATTGAATTTTTATCATTTTATCATCTACAATACCATTAGTTATGATAGCATAGGTATCACCATCTGTTAATACGTATGAAAAATAAAAACAATAACAACTAACTTGGCATCGTCCAACATGCCCATAGCAGTGAAAAATTGGAATTGAAAATTGAAAAATGTCAACAATCGGATCCTCCAAATTCTTTTGTAAAAACAAAATAGAAAAACATGTGAAAGACTACCTTTTCAAAGAAAAAAGTGTTGAGGGAAAGTTATTGACAAAGGAAACAGGTAACAAAGCAACTATTGTCAATTGAATATTACCTGTAAGTGTTTCACCAACATGCATGCAACATCATACAATATGTTTATTTTGAGTGCAGGATTATCAACATTATCTTTCTCTAATTCTTGGAGAACATAAACTGCATAGCTCAATCTATAAAATATGTAGAATATTTTTTAAATAATGCAACCACATGTATGCAAAAGCTTCAGCACTTGCACAAAGCATTGAAAGTAGCAAACCAACTGAAAAAATAAATTTACACCATCAAATGCATGCATCCTAACCACCTCTTTCAAACCAAGAACATTTAGGTAAAAATAGAGAAAAATGTGTGTAACAGACCTCTCTCCATGTTTCAAATTTAAGAATTTTTTAGGAAACTCATGTCGACAGCCTCGGCCAAAGATTGCTGTTTCATCAAGAGCTCTGTAGTGATTCATTGATCGAACAGCATTCCCAGCAAGAAAACCATGACACTCCTATAAGTATCAATAACAAACAAAAAAGTATACAAGAGCTTTGTTTCCTAAAGCCCATGGCACAAATTTATTGAAAATAAAAACTATGTGGTAGAGAATGTAAAAAAATCAAATATATTCAAAGCACTGTAACTTCCATGCCTGAATTTGCATTAGAATAACAAAGTATATTAAAGCTACATTGACCTTGTTTGATGTAGGTGTGGTATAATTGGCAACAAATTGATCAACATGTGTCTGATCATAGAACATCAGCTGTCCAAATAGAGGTTTTCCAAGACTCTGCCCAGCTTTTTCCTTCGTCCAATAAATAGAGCATCAAGAGACTCAAAGATCACACCATCAGTCTTCAATAAAATGGTGAAGGATAAAATCATGCAATGTATTTGAGTTCAATGATGCAAATGATGCAGTCAAAAAGGTGTTTGAGATAGCATTGCTAATGTTCTTTTTACTAAATTGTCATTGTTAAACAAGTAATACGAATATACTCACTTTGGGACAAGTAGGACAGATATTTCCTTCATCAAGCTCAGGAATAACACAGCTCAACATGTTTAGTTTATGTCTGTAAATTCTGAAAAAAACAATGACACAAAGAAAGCAATTATGCACTCTTAAACAAATGACATAAACAAAATACAGTGCAAGACAGTAATACTTGAGGAAAAATCCTTTCCCATCATAAACTTTAGCATTTTGATTTCCTCCAATTAAATACATCTCTTAAGATGAGATTCTTAGGCTATAAAATTGACTGCAACTTTCCCAGCAATTCATACATAGTACAGCAGTGCAATAAATCAGTGACCTACATGCAGTTACCTATATTCTTCAAAAGCATCTATAATGACAGGATACATTTTTGGTGTTGCATAAGAAGAGAATATGTGGTTATGATTAAACTCTTCAAATGACTGACAAATGCTTTTTATTGATGCCTGGCATTCCATCTGCACAGAATGAATCAATTCAAAAACTCAATTGCAAATGCAATTCTTGGTTTTTAGGTGTTCCACCCAAAGGCCAAATTGCAGAAGTTGAACAAACTCTGGAGAGCATGAGCAAAACTGTACCTCAACAGTACAAAAGGTGCCTAAAAATTGAAAAAGATCCAAAATTATAATTGTGTTGAACCATCCCAGCTAAAATGAAAAAACTTTTGCAGCACATTTTACATATAACATACCTTTAACATCAACAACAGAAACACTTCTTTTGTGACGAGCTGTTTGGCATGAACAATCATACACCAGCATGTTCATGAGTTTATATGGCCAAAACATGCCATCCTACAAAGCAATGAATAACCTCGTAGAAATTAGTTGTAATCAATCCCCTTTCTTGCATTCATAAAAATATTAGATTAGTGCTTGTAGCATGTTTCACAATGTAAACTCTCATTTTATTTTTGCATTTTTTGTTGCAAGTGTTGAGAGAGTTAACTGTAAACACTTTTATAATATCTAGCTCATAAAGGTTACCTTAAATATTTCAACATGATGACAAATATTTACGGTTGTGTGCATCTTTAACATACAGTTCTCACAATACTTTGCCATTGGACCACAATCGCTGCACCTAAACTTTGCTTCATTATCACAATGAATACACTTCAGATTGCTCCAATTTTTGCCAGCAAACTGAAATGTATTCTTTATAATTGAATGTCAAATTTTCCCATGCTTTTGTTTTCTTTCAACTTTCTGGTAATAAGAAGATGATTCTTCACAATCATGGTGAACATCACTTTCAAGATCACTGTTATCTTGTTCCATTCCCAGTTCATGGCCTTCCAATGCACCACAATTATCAGGACTGTTAAAAGAACAGCTTCCTCTATGATCCTCAGTAACCAATTCTGACAAATCCACCTCCTCTCTCTCAACATGGCCATCCTCATCATGATATGTGACAGCTACAGTTGCTTTAAACCTTTTATTGCTCCTACAAAATTATCATAAAATCTATAAAATGAAAATAAATGTTGAAAAGTCTAACAGCTATAAGGCCGTTATTTGGTGTACCTTGGCATCTTTTAAAATTACCAGCAAGAAAATCACAAATCAGAAAATATTATCGATATTACCAATGACACAATAACATAAGTTAAACGACCAAAGTACAACGTATGTATCTCCCACGACTACCAGCCGACGTTTTGTACCCGTACTTTACCGGCTTTTAGCCACGTCTCATAAGACGAATTGGGTGATTTCTTTGGTTGGTAAAACGAAAGGGTTTTCTTCCGGTATATTGTAGGAGCCTTTTTCCTAGGGTAGGGTAACATATCTCACGTGACCGGAAACGTAAATCATTTAAATTATTCCACAGAATCGACTAGAACGCCGCACCTGAGATATCATGTAGTTGGTTGTGTCTTGTAATCTTTCTGAATTTGTGAAGGTATGTTGATTTTAAACTTTACCTTTCGTTGTTATATTGTATTTTGATTTTGTGATTTAATGTTTCATGTCCATTTATCGATTATTTTGTTTTCTGTAAAATATTCTACTTCCGCGTTATGTACGTATGTAAATGTTTTATAAAGATAAATTTGTTGATTTTGGTGAGATTTGGAACTAGCTCGAATCAAGTTTGGAAAATTAACTTGTTAACTTTCATATATCTTTATATAATAATAAAAAGAAATAAATTTCTACTATATAATAGTAATGTTCTACATCGATACACATCATGTGCATGGTCACGAGGTAGTAGAGGAAATAAGATATTCATGGATAATTTCGTAAAAGCACTATTGCTAATGCGCATTTAATATACACGACAAGTTTTTTTAAAATAGACATGTTTCGACATCTCATGATGCCATCTTCAGTATGAGTGAAATAATAAGTGATACAAGGTTTATATAAAAGTAATATGATACATAAATTACAACAATAAAAAGGAAATAAGATAAATTAATGGGGCGTCCGAGCGTATTATAAACTAAATATTGTATTGAATTTATAATACGCTCGGACGCTCCAATTTATCTTATTTCCTTTATGTTGTAATTTATGTATCATATTATATATGTATCACTTATTATTTCACTCATACTGAAGATGGCATCATGAGATGTCGACATTTAAAAAACTTGTCGTGTATTAAATGCATTGCAATAGTGCTTTACGAAATCGTGTAATAAAAATAATGCCCAACATAAAGTTTTATTAGAGCCATAGAAATAGACCAAAATATTGTAAAATTGAATTTATTGTGACGTTTCGTCTTTACTCCAGACATCTTCAGACAAATAATAAATAGGATGTTAAAACAAGATATTATATTTACAAAAGGTGTTAAATTACTACTAAAGGAGGCGGTGTCAAATGGATTATATGATAAGGAAGTTAGGAAGTAAAATAAAGAGAAAATAAAAAAGGTTAAGTTGAATGGAGTTTCCTTGCACGTTAAGTAAAGGCTTGTATTTATTGATTAGAAGGCTCTCATGAATGAAGAGTTCGTAAGAATCGTTAGAAGAGGAGATTATTTTAAAGTCGTCTAAGTTGCGGATGTTTCCAGTTGCGTTAATGTGAGCAAAGATGCTTGATAACGCAGGGTGAGAAACTTGGTTGCCTGTAAGGGGGATATTCCCAAGTGCTCCGAAAATCTGGTGTGTAGATGACGTGTGGTCACCACATCTTCAACCTTTGTTCTACTTACGAAAATTTTTCATACATAACTCGAATTTACAAGAAAGTCACTCACCAAAAACGGTTTTCCTTCACGCATAATTGACCAAATCACACGTCGCTTCCTTAACAACACCTCCAAACCACCTGTCTTGACTGCTCACAAAATGCCCATCAATTTTTGTCTTCCTTTCACCGGCATACACTCCCTTTAATTTCGTACACAAATCAATAGCTTTTGTGCTGCAGCCTCCCACATATATGTATTAAATTTTTTGCGCCCTTCCCAACGTATCTCTTCTTTCTTCCCCTTTAAGGACAAAATTCCCAAGCCACGGAGATCTGGTGTAGTCTATTTATTCAAGTGTCGAAGCTGCAACGCCTCGTATGTGGGTCAAACCTTACGTCATCTACACACCAGATTTTTGGAGCACTTGGGAATATCCCCCCTTACAGGCAACTAAGTTTCCCACTCTGCGTTATCAAGCACCTTTGCTAACATTAACGCACCTGGACACAGCCCCAACTTTGACGACTTTAAAATAATCTCTTCTTCTAACGATTCTTATGATTTCTCCATTCATGAAAGCCTTCTAATCAATAAATACAAGCCTTCACTTAACGTGCAAGGAAACCCCATTCGACTTAACCTCTTTTAATTTCTCTTTATTTTACTTCCTAAGTTCCTTATCAAAAATCCATTTGCCACCGCCTTCTTTAGTAGTAATTTAACACCTTTTTGTAAATATAATATCTTGTCTTAACATCCTATTTACTATTTGTCTGAAGATGTCTTGAGTAAAGACGAAACGTAACAATAAATTCAATTTTACAATATTTTTTATCTATTTCTATGGCTCTAATCAAAACTTTATGTTGGGCATTAATTTTTATTACATGTATTGGATTTCCGCTCGGCAAGTCTCTCGCTACTATTTTACGAAATGTTCCCTACTTTTACGGTGTATACCAATTTCCCCCCCCACTATGTCTCTGTTTGGTGGGGTGGAACAAGTTCAAACGTATCATTGTCAATTAACGCTTTCATTTCATCATTCATGGCTTTTTGCCATTTTACTTTTACAATAGAGCTTATTGCTTGGGAATATGTCGTTGGGATGCTGCATACTCTTTAGCAATAATCTACGGTATATGAGACAGTTTCCTCCACTGAAACTTCTTCTGTCACATACTCGTCAAGATATTTACTCTTACTTCTTATCCTAGTGGGGTATCTTGATTCTCTAGATGTCTCTAGAGTGCTAATGTCTTCGTTAGTTGTTTTGGGTTTTCTTTCATTGCAATTTTGCTATCTGAGGTGCAAGTTCTTCAACATCTAGTTCTGGCAGTTCCCTGCTACCCTCCCTGAAGAACTTAAAGCATCTTACACGCTCTACCTTGTTGATGTCCGGGTAGTATAGTAGATATGCTGGACTATTTTTATCATACCCTACGAAAATACATTGTTTACTTCTAGGGTCTAACTTTTTGAACCATAACAAACACAACCAAAACGTGCATTTTGCTCAAGTCTGGTTTTGAGCCTGTAAACGCTTCGAACGGAGTTTTGTTCAACCTCCAATTAAAACAACGATTCCTAATATAAGCAGATGCAATGACGGCATATGTCCACATGGATTTTGGTAGTTCCGCTTCTAGCAATAAACACCTAGCCATGTTAAATAAAGTTAACCACGATCTCAACTGTGCCGTTCTGTGTGGCGAATATGGTGCACTAGTTTCATGCCTAATTTTGTTTTCTCTAAGAATCGATTTGAATTTCTCGCTTGTAAATTCAGTGCCGTTATCACTTCTTATGCGCTTCACATTTCCGTAAGGTGCAACATCTGCTAAAAACTGTTTTAATGCTTGTGGTGTATCGCTTTTATGCTTAAGAAAATAGACCATATTCAATCCTGAATAATCATCCACAAACGACAATGCATATCTAAACCCTTCTCTTCCTTCCGGATCAATAGGACCTGCAAGATCCGTGTGAATAAACTCAAGAGGA